GGGATGTAACGATTCACTCAACTCACGATTCGATTCACGATTTTTTTTTAACAAGATGAGATTTAAAACAAATTATAAATTAAATGTGTCCTTTTATTATTGCTTGGACAAAATGCTGCACATTTCTTTGTGATATTTAAATAGAACACTATAATAATAATAATATACTAATATAGCACTTGCATATTACTGCTCTTTTGTTAGTTTTGATTGCTTCTATTGTCCTCATTTGTAAATCGCTTTGAATAAAAGCGTCTGCTAAATTACAAAATTTAAATATAATGTAAATGTAAATAACAAAACTAAATTGAAATTTTAAAACAAGCCCCAAATCACATAAATAAGTAATACAAATCAAATAAATCTCTTCATTTAAACAAACTAAGGCTTTGTCTGTGCTCTTTCCATTTAAAATTAGAGCCAACCACTGCATTTTAATCGTGATCCAAACAAAGATGCTCTATACATGCAACATGAGCAGCTTTTAATCTAAATTAGATTGTATAATTTCGAAATCTGAAGCAAAAACCGAATGGTTTGACTTCAGTTTAGTGAAACTATGCATAAAAAATATCTGTGAAACCGAAACAGCAGACGAGCTGAACGAGACGCAGATTCACTCTCTGCCAGCAGGTGGCGCTTAAAGCGTTTCCTGGTTTCCGCTGTAAACAAAGCAGTGCTGCACTTATGAACTTTAATATGCATTATGAAAAGAAAAAATACCATCTAAACTTTTCTAAAGACAGTAAGTTCCCCTCAGACATGCATTCATATAAACTCCGGCCCCGAGATTTGTTTAGCATCTCAACCGATTTGAATCGTCACGTATTTGAATCGATTTTCAACCGGCTTGCGGTTAATTGTTACATCCCTAGAAAACACTCAAGTATTTTTTAATATTAGGCGTGTAAATTGTTTTTTGTTTTTTAGGTGTGTAAATAGTTGCTCTGACAACAATTCAGTTATGATTATGTAGTAAATGACATCTATGTATGTATGTATCTATCTATCTGTCTTTCTATCTCTTTGTATCCATCTTTCTATCTCTTTGTATCATCCATCCATGTATGTATGTATGTATCTGTCTGTCTGTCTGTCTGTTTGTCTGTCTACCCACCCATCTATCTTTCTTTCTATCTCTTTGTATTCATCTATCTATCTATCTATCTATCTATCTATCTATCTATGTCTACATACCCACCCACCCATCTATCTATCTCTTTGTATCCATCCATCCATCTATGTATGTATGTATCCCTCTATCTATCTATCTATCTATCTGTCTACCCACCCATCCATCTATCCATCTTTCTTTCTCTTTGTATCCATCCATCCATCTATCTACCATTCATGCTCGAAAACCCTCCAATGTGGCTGAATTAAAACAATTCTGCAAAGAAGAGTGGGCCAAAATGCCTCCACAGCGATGTGAAAGACTCATCGCCAGTTATCGCAAACACTTGATCGCAGTTGTTGCTGCAAAGCGTGGCACAACCAGTTATTCGATTTAGGGGGCAATTACATTTTCACGTAGGGCCAGGCAGGTTTGGACAGCTTTTTTCCCTTAATAAAATAAAAAATCATTTAAAAACTGCATTTTGTATTTACTTGCATTATCTTTGTGTAATATTAAAATTTGTTTGATGATCTGAATCTTTTAAGTGTGACAAATATGCAAAAAATTTAAAAAACAGGAAGGGGGCCAACACTTTTTCACAGCACTGTATGTATGTATCCCTCTATCTATCTATCTGTCTGTCTACCCTCCCTCCCTCATCTATCTACCATCCCTCCCCCCCCTCTATCTGTCTATCTATCTGTCCATCCATCTATCTCTTTGTATCTATCTATCTATCCATCCATCTATCTATCTAGTCTCTGATTGAAGCATATATTTCTTTAAACGTTCAAACACTCTGGACTAAAACATGTCAAAAGCGGTTAGATGGAGACATGCATGAACAGCAGATTCTTTCATCTGACCTGCGGATGCATTCGGCCACCACATCATACTGTCCGATGGAGCAGGCGGTGTGAAGACCCAGCGGCACGTTCAGCTCCTCCGGGCCGATCAGAGCGTCTCCTCCGCCCGCCAGCCACACGGACAGACCCGCGCCTAACTGCTCCGACTCACTGCTGGCCTCGTCGCTCAGCTCAGACATCCTGCTCTGAAAATGAGGTTTGATATTTAATATTTACAGGTCTGTGCAACAATATTTGCTAAAACTAACGCATGTCAAAATAAAAAAAATTAATTTTAAAAATGTTATACAGTGAGGTTATGTTCAATTACCTGGTATCAGATTTGTCCGACGGTCAATTCGACTCAAAAAAATTGTATTTCATACTCTTATTAATATTATCTTTATAACAGTTGTGATGGTGAAAAGTTATAGTTACAAAAAGTTATCTAAATATGGAAATTACAGCCTTTTACAACATAAGCACCTGACAAATAAAAGCGTACAATCCTTGAAACTATTTAAACTTTCCAAACTGGTAAATCAATGTTTTGTTCAGAAATGGCAAAAGCAGCAGCAACCCGGGTTGCCAGGTTTCCACAAGAAAACCCTCCCAATAGCTACTCAAAACTAGCCCAACGTTTACAGGGGGTCCCCAGTTAAAAATCGCGTTCCGGGGGTTAAAAATACACGTTTTTTTGGCGGGGTTCCCCTGATTAAATTCGGATTCATGGGGATAAATATCATGTTATTGGAGTCACTTCAACCCGCGGCAACAGTGACTTGGCAACTCAAAGGAAGTTTTGTGATCCAGCCGGGGCGTGTTGTTAAATGTGTTCTAGGGAGTTGTAGTCTTTTGTCTGCTTCTCATAATACAGTTCAAACAGCTAGTACACAATATAAGACTGCATATCCCATGAGCCACTGCGGCACTGATATCTTAAGTGCCTGACGACATGAAACATCATCACACTTGTTGATAAAATGCAAAAGAATGCTACACATCATAAAATATCTAAAATAAAAGGCTTGTTTTGGCTGAGAGCATTGACTTGATGTGAACATAATTCACTTAAATTATTTGAGAAATAAGCTGACATTTCTTATACAGGCATTTTAAATATGTTACCATAGCAATAAATAACAATTTATGTATATTTTAATAAATCATCAGTATTAGTCAGTTGAAAAAAAAGTCTATAAAACCCAGTACAATAAAATAAAATAAATAATATAAAAAAAGTTTACCAGCAAAGTTTTGGTCGTCTTCACACTTTATTCGAATTTTTTTTCCGTAAGTGTTTTCTATGATTGCAACACTTTGAACATTACAAAAAGTGAAATCTAGCAATATTGTATGCTTAATAAAATGCAAAGAGAATGTATGGCAAAACTGTGCAATAGAAGCACGTAATATTTGACCACACATCTACTTAAGGTACGAATCCTGCTGGTTGATGTTACCGTGTCGAGTCATAAGTTGAAGTTAAAGCGAAACTCTTCATGTGTTTTAGTGAAAACAAATGATTTTGTGTCTCCATCGGTGTTTGTGTGCTCGATTGTCTCCCGGGGCCCTTGAGATTTGTCTGTTTTGTTTGTGGGTTGTGTGTTTCTCTCAGCTCGCCGGTGAAACACTGGTTTGCACTCAGACACACTGGTGAGCCGGGCGGAGGTCACTGCTGTGGAAAGAGACAGCAATTTTGTAAGAATTGTGTAAGCAACTTTTGTCAGAATATTGTAAGGCAGGGGTTTTCAAAATGGAGTCTGTGGAAAGGTTTAGAAAAATAAGTGTATAAATAAAATTATTTTAAATAACGTCTAACTAAATAAATTAATTAATACATTTATTAAATATAAATAAAAATTAATTATGTAACAAATGTATTTTTACATGAATGCATAAAAAAAAATAGTTTTAAAATAAAAAATATTTAAATAATACATAGCAGCACACTATAGTGGACAGGGTAATAAAAAACGTAACGTAACAATAGAAACTAAATATTTCCAAAATAATATACACATTTTTAGAATACTTATTTTCACTGCATTATTTGGTTCTTATACATGAAAATACATAGCTGCCCTCTTAATTTTAAAGCACATCAAAAAAAAAAGTGGATATATAAATGCATATTATGCCACTGCCTTACCTGACTGTATGAGTTTGAACTGTCTGGCTCTTTCCTCTTCTATCTTCTTCCTGTAGTCTCCAGAGATCGCTCGCATTACCTGCCTCTTCTTCACCAGGGGAGCTTTGGAGCTGTGTAACGTCTTCAGAGCGCGGCTCGCTTCTTCCCCTAAATGGAGGCATATGTGTAGAAAGATCAGACAGTGAGGGTTTCTTTTGCCCAGAGTTTGTCTAAACTATATATATATATAGATGTTGTATTTGCGGTGTTGTCTCACTCACGCTGTTTGCTGGAGGTTTTTTGAGTTCTCAGGCCGAGCTCGAGCTGTTCGATGCACCAATCCAACTCTCGACTCAGCAGCTCATCAGGAGTCTAACACACAGTTATAAAGTCAAATTATTTATTTGTCTTTGCCACAGCTTATAGATATAAACACAACAGTAATATATATATATATATATATATATATATATGCAAGTGTGTATGTGCTTACTAGTTCTGTGGTCTCTTGTTTAGATGTTTCCTCATTGCTTTTTACCCCTTTCTGCTGATTATCTTCTCCATCACCTGCTTTCTTTTTCTTCTTCTTGAGTTTTTTTAGCATTGGCAGGAGTGTCAGCGTTTTGGGCTGCTGTTTGAGGGTCCTCGCACCTCTGGCCATCCATGTTTTTCTCATTTTCCAGTATTCTGGGTGTTTCTGGAAAGCATGATCAAAATGAGGGCATTTCCAAAACATGTATCTGCCCCTTAGACTGCATGCCACCAAGTCACACACTACAATGCAATATCAAAATCTACAAAATGGCACGTGAATTCAATACATTCAGCTGGAATGGTTTGTAATCTTACCTGTTACAGTTGATTTCTCTGCCATAGCTGAAGCTTTAATCTTCTGATATCACAGATACACTAATAGTCTGCTCTTTTATATGAAAAAAACACAAACGATCACCTGTCAAGCTTGCAGAATTAGTAAACTACTTCTGCTCGAAGCGTTGGATTATCAAATATATTTACAGATTTCAGATATGCATGTGTGAATATCCCATGTGTGTGTATTCCGCCGATAGCACATTTAAAGGTTCCTACTGCAACGCAATACAATGTGCCCTCCTTAGGCAATGCTGACACAAACACTGCACTAAAAATAGTGGATCTCAAAAGCATTGTATGTTTTTCGTCGTGGTTTGCGAAGCAACGATTGTTGCAATAATATATCAGTAATGTTTTGCACGGGCTATTATTAAAAGGAACCGTTGTTTTTACATGGTTATGTAATCGACACCAAACTGGTTCAGGGCTACAAATGGAAGGATTCTAAAATCATCGGATGTTTCACGAAGATGATTAAATGTATATATAACGCCATTTGAAATGTAAAAACAGTTTTAGTCTGATTCATCCGCAGAGACAGACCAAAGAGACTTTTACATTTACATTAAAACCGCGCTAAAATTATTATAAATAATAAATACTAAAGAAGAGTAAATTCTGCCCCTCGCTCCTCCAGCCAATGAGAGTCGACGTGGGCGTGGCTTAACCATCGCACAGACGTCACTGACTGTATAAATACAGGGCGGTTCGTTTTGCGCGTGACGGACGTTCCTTGTTGTGGATTTGACGGATTAACCGAAACAAAAAAATCGTAAGTATCGAAATAATATTCGAATATCAATCTTATCTTGTATTCATCCTTTTAAATGTCGTGTTTATAAAACATTCGAGAATATAGAAAACCTCTTCAGTCCGCGTTTTGTGTTTGGATTCGTAAACGGCAATTTTAGATCATTTTTGTCGCGGTAGCAACAAGCTAACGTTAAGCTAGCGAGCTCATATTTACTTCTGCTTTACCTCAGAAGTTCGTTCGCTATTTTTAACTTTAACCCTTTGTTTTGAACACATAGTCTCACGTTACGCGTAGTTTTTTGTTTAACCGCTTTCAGACGACGGTTATTGAGTTGTCGGTGTAGACAAAGAAAAGGCTGTAATTGGTGTTCTTGGGCGCCATGTTACACATAAAGGCAGAAACGTGTCTGTGTCTCGTCCTGAGATGGTGGACCTCACTACTGCATTACTCCGAGCTGCTACATCTCCGTTTCTGATCTCTTTCGCCGTGATTGAAGAGAACGTGGCGTATATGTAGTAACAGTTACTAGTTGCTGAATGGGTGAATGAAAGTCGCTGCCGTTGAAGACTTTTTTTTTTTTTTTGCCTTTAGGCAATGTATGTGTGTGTGTGTGTGTGTGTGTGTGTTGAATGGGATTCAGTTATGTGTGTGTGTGTGTGTGTGACTCAGTTTCCCCCTGCAAGTTGTTCAGGTTATTGATTCGCTTTTCTATCTGCTTATATAGATGTTTGACTTTGTATGCACTTTAATGCATAAAAGCTGAGCGTTTATAGAATTTTATATCGTCAACTCGTTTACCTTTTTAAGTCTCCGTTTAGCTTTAATCCTCCTAAATGGCGCCCCCAAGTTGTAAACGCCTTTATTTAGGATATTATTGTCATGGTGTCCTTTTCCCAAACATTAAATGTGTTCCTGCATGACTTTATTATTGGGCGGGACAGACGCTGGAGTTTCCTCGCGGCTGTTGTTCTTTCTTATCGGTTTTTGTCTCTTTAGGCCGCTTCTTTAGAGTGCCATGGCACGTACTAAACAAACCGCCCGTAAGTCCACCGGTGGTAAAGCCCCCAGGAAGCAGCTGGCCACCAAGGCGGCCAGGAAGAGTGCGCCCTCCACCGGTGGAGTCAAGAAGCCCCACAGATACCGGTGAGAAACACTGAGCACGTGTAGTAGTAGATACATGGACAATTGTTTATATACATTATTTCCTGTGTACACTGGGCGTTATGTATTATAGTGTACATACTGAATATATAAATCAATTCGGTGTATATACACGAGAGATTTCAGTGTATATACACATGTAAATGGTTATATCGTGTTTATTTTATATATTCAGCTTATACAGTATAATTTATATACATGGCTTTTTTTAACATAATAAAAATGTATAGGCCTACACCATGTATATACACGATATAATGTACGTACATTTTTTAAAATATACAAGAGGTTTAAGTTGAATGTATGAGCGGAATATATAAATACTACAAATATATTAAATGGTGTGTATATATTCAACTTATACACAACAATATACATGATTTAAAATGACGTTGTATACAAAAATCTATATACAGTATAAATGCAGAATATACAAATTATTTGTGTATTTTACATATTCAGTATATACACAATATGAGCATTTATATAGTGTATATGCTGAATATTGTAGATGCTATACTGTGTATTTTTATATTCAGTGTACAGAGACAAAGTGACTGTTTTATATCCATTTAGTATATGCACAATATAATGTTATATACATGATTTAATTTCGATTCAGTGAATTTCATGCATTGCCCCAATAACGAAGTCAATAATTTGTCATTTTCTGCTTCTTTCCCCCTCAGCCCTGGAACTGTGGCTCTTCGTGAGATCCGTCGGTACCAGAAGTCCACGGAGTTGCTGATCCGCAAGCTTCCTTTCCAGCGTCTGGTTCGTGAGATCGCTCAAGATTTCAAGACTGACTTGCGTTTCCAGAGTGCTGCTATCGGCGCCTTGCAGGTGTGTTTTCTAGTTCTGGGTTGTGTATAGAGCTTTTAAAATGCCATCAATAACATTACAGAATATTAGGAATAAATGCTGTGCTTTTTGCCTAAAACAATAATTAAAATATGATTTACAGAGCTCCCTCTAGCCAAGGTCAGCTGACAATTTAAGAGACCATTAGAGTGTTTAAAGAAAAATTAAACTATTTCAGTTCATTAAAGGCTTGTTTTAATTAATGTACAATACAAAGCAATTTGGTTACATAAATTCAACTGAGGTAAATAATGGTTATTTAATCATCTATACAAGGAAAAAATATTCACTTGCCTTAAATTCGCATGACTTCGGCTTGTAAAAACATTGTGGCCTAAAGAAGACCGTGATAAATGCATGCAGACTTGTGACATCTTGAGGGTTTCTTCATAACAGCAAAGCTCTTCTGTACTCTTTGATAACAGGCGTGATCCTCTCCGGTCATATAACGAGCGCCACTGTAAACTCTGCCCGGGAGGACAACTACAATGAACTGAAATGTAGTTCCGCTTTGATATTTAGGCGTTTTGAAGAAAATAGCTTGTCTGATCACTTCATATATATTTTAGAGTGGTACGTTATAATACAAATGTTGTTAAAATGTCATCGTATGCAGCGTATTCTAAGATTACGTGACAATAAATTTAAGTACTTTATACATCTAGAAACTTAAGAAGCAATTATGATGACTTTCCTTAGCTAGTAATATTAGTCTAAGTGTGCTGGCTAGGTTAAAGTGCATGATTAAAGTTACGTCTCTGCTGCTATATCATAAGTTTAATTACATTGTTTAATGTTTTTGAAATGTTCACATGATCCTTCAGAAATCATTCTTATCTGCTGATTTGATGCTCAAGAAAAAAAGTATTATTATCAATGTTGCTGCTTCATATTTTTGGGGAAAACTTGATACATTTTGTTTTTAGGATTCAGAACAACAACAGGCACTTGAGTCGTCAGGAGTATGTCTACAGACCACGTTATGCTCCTATAACCTGATCAGAGCACATTTGAGAGATGTTACTGAAGCTGTTTCATCACAAAATAGACGTTAGCTTTGCAGAAATGTGGCTGGGATGCAGTATAGTAATGATGCTTCTGTTTGGGTCCATTATGAAGATTTGCAAAACGATTCATGTAATTTTCAGCATCATTACTCCAGGCTTCAGTGTCACATGATCCTTCAGAAATCATTCTAATATGCTGATTTGCTGCTTATTATTATCAGTGCTGAATGGAAATTAATAGAAAGCTCAAAAGAGCAGCATTTCTTTTGTAGAACCTAACAGAAATAGTTTGTAACATTATAAATGTGTTACTTTTGATCATTTTATTGCATCCTAGCTATTTCTGTCAATAACTAACACACGTACTGTTCTCTTCCAGATAGCGAAGAAAGTCTTGTACGTGAACCCCAGCATCTCCAGAAAATGAAACTCAAACGCAGTCTGGATGAAAACACACGTGTACAAGACGAGAGAGAAAAAAGCCAATGAATGGCAAAAAGAGAAAGGCTAATGATGAGGTGTGTGAATCAAAAGATGAATTCTTGTTTCATATTTCATATAAGTGCATGTATGCCCGGTGTTCATAATTCTCATGTGTGAGCATACAGAAAACATACATTTATTATAAGACCTGTATAATGTTTTCTGTAACATGTAACTTTTGGAAGGTTTGTCTTCCAGGTGGAAAAAATCAGTATGTCAGTAAACAGATTTATTTAACTCTGTTTACTCCAAACAATATATGAAAGATGAAATGCTCCATTACCTCCTCTACTGGCTGGAAAATTAGACAGACAGAAGATACAGAGTTTCATAGTGCAAGAGAACGAGTGTATGTGACCTTGGCCAAAGGGAAAGATTTTTTATTTGTATTTTTTTAAAGAAATTAGTACTTTTATTTTAGAAAGACACATTAAATTGGAGCATCTGGAGCAGAGGATGAAAACGGCTCAGATGGTGAGGAAGATCTGAGTGCTGGAGAGAAAGTTGAAGAAGATTCTGAAAAAGGAGGAGACGAAGAAACTGAAGGAAGAAGGCAAAAGCATAAAAGAAGAGATGGTCAAGTTAACTCATGCATGTAGAGAGAGAAAGGCGCTGGATTACCTCACATGGTGAGACACAAACATAGTTATTTTACCAGTTCTACCACAGATTGTTAAACATTGTTTTAATGGATTTACTTTGTTTGTGTACTTGTTTAGCTGGGAGCAGTGGAAGTTTCACAAAAGCAGTTACTGCAGCACATGTATGACAGACGGCACAAAGGTACAAGAAACATCACAATCATCAGTGACCTCTACAGCTTTCTAATTTACTACACACTTACCACAGTAATAAAACATGGAGCACGGGCTTTCCTACTGATTTTGTTTTAAATCATGCATTTTATTTCTATTTATTTTGGTATCTTTGTACCAAAAACATGACTTTTTCCACTATCAATATCAACCTTTTTTCAAGTTCAGCTGTTTTGACTGCATATGCATGCGTTTCTCTCTCTATTTCAGGTGTTTGACGATCATTTCAAGGTGTTGCTGGCGTATCTTGAAGGTCTGCGTGGAGCATCGCGAGGCATCAGACTGCAGAAAGCTGAAGCGATTGTGCGCTGGGAAGGACAAGGAGAAGAGGAAGATATACACTGTAAAAAAATTCTGTAAAAATGGCAGAGAAACCTCAGCTGGTCAATAATTCACCAGAGGACATTGAGACTGATGAGTGCATGAACACATATTCACACATCTACAGCCCTGATCTGCTCATGTAAGCACAATAAACACTGAAGTTTTCATTCTTTTGCATTTGAAATCCCTGCATTGTTCAATATGCATATATACACTGCCGTTCAAAAGTTTGGGATCAGTAAGATTTGTAATGTTTTTTTTTAAAGAAGTCTGTTCTGCTCATCGTGGCTGCATTTATTTGATCAGAAATACAGAAAAAACAGTAATATTGTAAAATAGTATTGCAATTTGAAATAATGGCTTTCTATTTTAATATACACTGTAAAAAAAATCCTTAAAATTTACGGTAAAAAACCGGCCGCTGTGGTTGCCGGAATTTTACCGTAAAAAATACGGTAGCAACGTTTTACGGTTTTAACTTAAATTTACAGTTAAGTACCGTAATTTCATTAACTGATAAAATTTTATTATATACCAACCTATTGAAGTACTGAAATCTGTTTTGTAGCTTTGGAAATATAACGCAGGGAATTCTGGGAATGTCAATTTACGGTTATTCACTGTAAATTATACAGTCTTTTTCACTTTCAAAAACGGTATACTACCGTAAAATTAATGTCCAATACATGTAATGTTTAATACAGTTTTTCACCGTATATAGTAGCGGAATTTACCGTTAACCATTTAACAGGTTTTTACTGTAGCATTTTTACAGTCTTTTACCGTTAAATTCACAAGTCATTTTTTACAGTGTACTTTAAAATATAATTTATTCCTGTGATGAAAAAATAGAATTTTTGCTGTTTTGTAGCTTTGTAATACACTGATAACCACCAAATGCAGGAGGTGATTTTGAAATATAACGCAGGGAATTCTGGGAATGTCAATTTACGGTTATTCACTGTAAATTATACAGTCTTTTTCACTTTCAAAAACGGTATACTACCGTAAAATTAATGTCCAATACATGTAATGTTTAATACAGTTTTTCACCGTATATAGTAGAGGAATTTACCGTTAACCATTTAACAGGTTTTTACTGTAGCATTTTTACAGTCTTTTACCGTTAAATTCACGGTCATTTTTTGATGCTGAAAAGAAAAAACAGAGAGCCAAACAGGTCGTGCAGTTGCTGTGATAGACCAGAACTTTGAACAAAACAGCAAAAATGCTCATGTTTTTTTTAATGAGTCATTTATACATTTTCATTCATTCAAATGAATAGTGAAGTCATATTGTCTTATTGTGAATACATATACAACAATACAACTTGACATTACATCAAATAAAATGCTGTGGTTTTTATCTACCAGTAGGCTATGTTGTGTTGTAACACGTTTAAAAATATAACAAGATAGGTCTGCCCTGTGTACAACATTTTTTAGTATTTCACTAACAGTGTTGGGGGAGGTTACTTTGAAAAGTAGTGCATTAGAATATTGCTTTACTCACTAAAAATGTAACAGTTATCTTTTATGGAAAGCTTTATATTACTTTTGCATTACTTTTTTTAAGAGTGCAGCAAAGACATTGGTTAATAAAATGGGATTAAATGCATAAAGGATATTTATGTTATTTAACATATTTAATTATGTAACATATTCTGAGTTTGCATTTCACAGTTTTTACTCATTTTGAGAAATACTGAATGTTTTTGTGCAATTGAGTTAAGTAAATGCAAGTTCACATTTAGTCTAGAACACAGACAACTGCCGTTACTTATTTGAGAAAGTAACAGATATTTTCTTGAAAATGCAAAAGTAATGCATTACTTTACTAGTTACTTGAAAAGTGTAATCTGATTAGGTAACTCGTGGTGCAAACACTGTTCACTAATAAAAAAGTAGTACTAAAGGTCTCAGAAACATACGCTATGTTTGATTATTAATCGATAACTTTCTCAGAGTTAGACAAAAGGTTTTGTCAATACGGTCAAATAAAATGATATGTAACTTTTACACTCGGCATCACTGCTAGCGCTAGTAAAAGCGGACTACATTTCCCATAATGCTATACGCGGGCTCGTTCGTTTGACGTCACGCATCTCGCCAGGTACAGAAGTCCATCGTGCAAAATGAAAACAACTGTTGCATAAACTTCATTAATTACGCGGGAGCGGGTCGCACGTGCAAACGGATTCTCATTTTGGGTGAAGTAACTCTGAACTTTATTTCACGCTTTGTTTGGATTTGTTTCTCGGATTGCAAAAACAAAGAGTTAAGGGAGAGGTTTCAAAATCACAAATCTTAATCCTTTTAGTAGATGTGGATTTTTAGTTGCCTGACTCTCATTTGCTATTGCGATGTAAGCAAAAGTTGACTTTTTGCATGCAAATGACCTTTTGGTGGTTTTCATGTCTTTATGTGGGTATTTAGAAGGATCATGGCAGAGAAACCTCAGCTGGTCAATAATTCACCAGAGGACATTGAGACTGATGAGTGCATGAACACATATTCACACATCTACAGCCCTGATCTGCTCATGTAAGCACAATAAACACTGAAGTTTTCATTCTTTTGCATTTGAAATCCCTGCATTGTTCAATATGCATATATACACTGCCGTTCAAAAGTTTGGGAAGTGTCACATGATCCTTCAGAAATCATTCTAATATGCTGATTTATCAATGTTGGAAACTTTTGTGCTGCTTAATATTTTTTGGAACCCGTGATACTTTCTTTCAGGATTATTTGATGAATAAAGCTAAAAAGAACAGCATTTATTTAAAATATAAATATTTTCTTACAATATAAGTTTTTATTATCACTTTTTATCAATTTAACACATCCTTGCTGAATAAAAGCATTCATTTAAAAAAAAAAATTACTGACCCCAAACTTTTGAACGGTAGTGTATATTGTTACAAACGATTTCTATTTTGAATAAATGCTGTTCTTTTTAACTTTTTATTCATCAAAGAATCCTGAAAAAGTGTCACAGGTTCCAAAAAAATATTAAGCAGCACAACAGTTTCCAGCACTGATAATAAATCAGCATATTAGAATGATTTCTGAAGGATCATGTGACACGTTACACTGGAGTAATGATGCTGAATATTCAGCTTTGATCACAGGAATAAATTGCATTTTAATGTATATTAAAATTGAAAACCATTATTTTAAATGGTAATAATATTTTACAATATTACTGTTTTTTCTGTATTTTTGGTCAAATAAATGCAGCCTTGATGAACACAAGAGACTTCATTAAAACACATTAAAAATCTTACTGCTCCCAAACTTTTGAACAGCAGTTATGCATATATATATATATATATAAATAGAGAGAGAGACTTATTTTTGTGTGTTTGCAGTGATCAGGTGGCCTTTATAACCGGCGGAGGATCAGGTATTGGGTTTCGAATAGCAGAAGTTCTGATGAGGTGAGTTGTCAGCAATTTTGTAATCAGCAGGAAATCATCATCACGTGCTTTCAGATGGAGCAGCATTTACTACACAGAGCCGTAGTTCACTGACAAGTTACGCAAAAAAATCGCAAACGATTTTATTGCGCAATTCTGAAATCGTTTGCGATAATGACAGCTGTTTGCAGTGAACTACGGCTCTGTGAAGTAAATGCTGCTCCATCTGAAAGCATGTGAAAATACCACATTTAATAACATATTTTTACTCCAAACTCACTTCATAACGTCAGTCGAGTGTTTGAAATAAATCCTTCTGTGAGATGATGTGGCTTCTTACACAGAATAAGGCACGCAACATATTTCATAGTATTTAAGCAGTGATAAAGGCATTGCATTATAAATATACTTTATTTTAATAAATTATAATGATAAGAACTGTATATTGCCGTAGTCGTGTGTTTATTTTCTGGGTTTCTTCTGCGAGGCGTATTTGGAGTTTCTCTGGCCTTTGGATGGAGATTTACTGCTGATCACAGAACCGTGCTTCACTGAAAGATACGCATGACAATCACAGCTTCTGTCGAATCGCGATCTCGATTCCATTTCGATTTATGGTGCAGCCCTAGTCTCAACACTTTGTCTATGAATGTACCTCTCAGCTCGACTTTTTCACTCATGATATACCTTTTATAATGACATACATATCGATCGTAAACCTTTGTGACCGTCTTCTCAAGCCTGCAACTTCAAATTCATCTGAATAAATTGATTTAAGCTTCTTTTTTTAACTTTTTTTCATGCAGGCATGGGTGCGACACGGTCATCGCCAGCAGAAATCTGGAGAAACTCACTGAGGTACTGTCTCGACAAATCCTCAGCAACTCACTGATGAAGAGTAACTCATCTTTATGTGTTTGTGTGGTTTAGGCTGCAAAAAAGTTAAGCAGCACTACAGGCAGACGGTGTTTGGTGATTGTCATGGATGTGCGTCAACCAGAGACGATTTCTGCTGCCATGGATGAAACCTTGAAGACATTTGGACGTGTTGACATACTAATTAACAGTAAGGCTTGAGTTAGAAGGTCAAACACAGTGCCTTAACCTGTGATAAAAACATGTCCCAAACTAACAGTCTATTACCAAAGAGATCTTGATTCTGTAGATATAATGATGTTGTTAATCAGCTTAATACCCTCGTAAGTTTCTTTTTTCATGATCTAATGTGTGGTTGCATATTATGCGAGCACATGTGTTTTTGAAAATAGTCATACAGTTTTGTGGTTTGTAATTTTTATTTCACAGATGCTGCAGGTAATTTCTTGTGTCCAGCTACATCGTTGTCATTTAACGCTTTCAAGACGGTAATGGAGATCGACACCATGGGAACTTTCAACACCAGTAAAGTCATCTATGACAAATGGTTCAAGGTACAGATATACATCTCAAGAATTGTATCTTCTTAAGCTTTCTTTCTCACTTGTAGAGCTCTCTCTGTATGAAGCAGTACTTTATATTCAGTCTCATAGTTTGTGGCTTTATTTCTTTATCTCAGGATCATGGCGGCTCCATTGTCAACATTTCCGCCACACTGGGATACAGAGGTCAGGCTCTCCAGGTGCATGCTGGGTCAGCGAAGGCTGCAAATGGTTAGTGTTGATTTTGGTTTATGTTTATGCATGATTTGTATAAAGTCATATGTTTGTATTTATAAACATTAAAATATATAATAAGTATTTATACGAGTAATAGTGCTCCATGACAAATGGAAGAAACCATATGTAAGACAATAGTATGCAGATGAATCTAAAACTAGTATGAAGACTGATGAAAAACATGGAGTTGGATAAAAGAGTGGAATAAATCATATTACATCTGGTGTGTAAAGATGGAATGAAATCAAAATTGTCCCCATTTATTTATTTTAATTCTAATCGTTAATGATTTATACATGAATATATAAATTTTTTTGTTTTGTTTTGTTTTTGGCCCTATAATGCCGGATACAACAATTTTTTCAAGCTAACTTTGAGGATATTATATGTTCTAAAGACAGATTTGGCACATTGAACTATTTACAAAAAAAACATTTCAGTTCTTGAAATAAAATAAATGGTAACTGAAATAAATAAATATATATATACTGCTTTAAATTGTTGTTGTCCCCCCCCCCTCCAAAATTAAAAAAGTTTCTGTTTAATTTCATTGCAATTTTGTTTTTGTTTTTCTGAGCAAAAAATAAATATCATACATTTTCCCCTGATTTACAGAAGAGAGCCACTAAAATGCCATTCAGTGTAACAATCTTGTCAGGCATATTTACAACAAAAATCAATTTATGACATATTAAAAGACTAATTACTTTCACCCCAAATACTAATTAGTTGTAATTAAATTTTTTTTAAATTTGCCACTATCCTAGGTTTTGCCCATTTGTCATTCGAATTTTTTCCTCATTTAAAACACAATAAAATTTAATATGCTCCCTTATTCTTTTATATATTTTAATATGTACAGGTCAGAATAAGCATGTTGTTTGAATTTTTACGTAAATATTGTGTTACACTGAATGACAATGTAACATTATTTCAACCAAATTTTGACATTTTATTCTCCAAAAACTTATTTGAAACCTAAAAAGTAGACAATTTACTTGCATTTAATGTGCTTTCTATGGACATAAAATCACTTTTGTAAATTTCTTTTGATGCGGACATCTTAACGTCTTTGACCCACACATATTAGTTGCCATGACTTAATAAAATTAGACATATTTAACAATAAATAAATAAATAAATACTAGTAAATTGGCAAAAACTAACAACAAAATTTACTCTGTGAAAACTAAATATTTGTAAAAAATTCTGAATATTAACAAATATATACTAGTATATCAATGATACTAAAATAAGGACTAATTATCTGCATATCTATATGTGTTTGTAGATGCCATGACGAAGCACTTGGCGGTTGAGTGGGGCCCCAGTGGTGTGAGGGTGAACACAGTGGCTCCAGGGCCCATCTCTGGCACAGAGGGATACCGTAGACTAGGTAAAACCAGTTGTGTGTGTGTAGCCTAGCTGTAGTGTCACTATACCTTTCTTTTTCACCATCACTATTGATCTTTCAGGTGGTTCACATGCCGAGTCAGCGGGGGTTTTCCACAGCATCCCGCTACAAAGAGCCGGCAATAAGACCGAGATCGCACATGCGGTTCTTTTCCTGGCTAGCCGTGCGGCTTCATACGTCACCGGCGCTATACTGGTCGCCGACGGAGGGGCGTGGCTCACCTCGGCCAATGACGTGGAACGGCTGCTGGGTATTGCCTCATCTCGCTCTGCAAACCTATGACAGACAGCACCGCACACAGGTGTGTGTGCCTGTGCTAGAAGACAGGTGCTTGCTAGTTATATAGGACTGAACCGATTAACATAAATCAATAATTAGAATAATTATTCAAATGCTCAACACACTTAAGAGAATCAAATTATTATTATTTTTTTTAAATCTGTGATCTTGTTTTTTGATCTTGAAAAACATTTTCGATTAATTTTTCTACCACTGTATGATTGACCTGTGAATATGTGGGTAACGTTTTTGGTAATTTCTTTTATTTTCTTAAATGTGTGTGTGTGTATATATATAGTATTTATAGAGTTTTAGCTTTTAGTTTTAATTACTTATTTGTAAGTCGCTTTGGATAAAAGCGTCTGCTAAATGACTAAAAGTAAAAAAGTTGAATTAAGTAAAAGGTATATAAAATCTCATTCTGACTTCGTTTCTCTTATGTTTCTAGGTGTTTGGTCTGCGGAGAAAAGAAAGGATAAATAGCATGAATAGAAGATGAAATCAACAGCAATGGACCAGTTGATCATGCCAGCATCTTTATGATTGTTGAATATTACAAAAACGTCCATTTTATTTTTCACCCCAAAACTAAAGAACGAAATAAGCAATAATATTCTGTGTTAAGAAAATTAAGCCTAATTTTAGGACTTAAATTTTTAGAATTAAACATTTCTACCCAAATTCTATTTTTCATAATGCTCTGTTATACTTTTTGAGTTGTAAATTCTCAGCATAAATTAATGTCAGTACAAAGAACAAGTTAAACATTTTTAATTTATGATTATTTTAATCATAATCATATTTTTCCTACTTTATGATAATGAGTATCTTTGGTCTCATTACAGTAATGACTGCATTTTTAATGCAAATATATTTTCTAAATTTTCTTCCTTTTGATTTTGAGGTGAAATATGACGGATATTTTATTGATGATATAAAATTTTTATTTTTGACCGTATAATGCCGGATACAATTAATTTTTCAAGCTGTGAGGATATGATATGTTCTAAAGACTGAAAATACCGATTTGGCGCTTTGAACTATTTACAAAAAAAGAAGAAAAAAAAATCAGTCCTTGAAAAAAATAAAAGGTAACTGAAACTTTGTTTAACCACAAAGTTTTAGTAATTATAATGTATATTTTACTTCTGGTAACATAACTGACCATTTTAGCACTACATTAGTGGCGTTTTTTAAATTTTCAGCTACAGTGCATGTATATAAAAAAATAAATAATAATAATAATAATGTAAACATGATTGTTTTCTTATATACGTAACCGTTTTCATAATAAATATTTTATAAATCTTGTATTACCTTTTCCGGGCTATGCTTTTAGCTGTAATATCTTTGTTCGTACACATAGGGGCGCAAAAAAATCACAGTAAATAACTGAAACACTTTTTGGTTAACAAATCAGCATTTCTTCTAAGTAGACGTAATCTAGCGACTGTAATTCTGGCAAACTGTCTCGCTTATGTTAGCCACTACTTTACCTCCAGCAGGTCTCAATAGCAAATGATGGCATCCGGGTCATCTGCGTTCCATCATCACCATCGCAACCAAACGTACAGATAACTGCGCGAGGAATGATTCGGTGGTTCGGTGGTTTAAAAGCGCTAGACTGCGGCGCTGCGCATGCGTGTTGCTGGACGTCGGTTTCTCTCTGTGTGTGTGTGTGTGTGTGTGTGTGTGTGTGTGTGAGACAGCAGAGCTTGTGTATTGCTGCTGATGAGAGAGAGCGCGAGAGAGACTGAAACATCATCCGTCGACTAGAAAAACAGGACCTCACGATCTCATCCTAAATCTCAGGTTGCAGGTTAGCGGATAAATCGGATTAAATTAAAAGGGATTCGCGCTTTATTTATGGGATTATCGGTGGTCTCGCTGATTTGATCCCGCTAACAGGCTAATAACAAGCGCAGGTGGATGACTCGCGAGACTCGACCTGGATGTTGGCCTGTTTTTACAAAATACAAACCGGAATAAAACGCCTAGCATCCAACCAAACAAAGGGATTAAATCAAGTCTGACTGGAACCAGAAACATCAGGGGTCTTCTGTTATTTTCAAATGAGCGGGGGTCGTATGGGCCAGCTAGTCGGCTAATGGGTTTACCTCAGATGTGGAGGATGCTGATGCTAACCGCGCGAGACAATCTAGCATTTAACGTTAAGGTTTTTTTTGTCTAATAACACAATGACAGCTGTTTAAAACATAGTCTGTTGTGCTTAACATATAACAATTGCAGATATGTTAAGATTTATTCTCTGTGACAGCGAGACAATCTGAGTAAAATAATTGAATACACTGGCTTGTGCTTTTACACCGTAATCTGACTTTAATAATTAGTAGTTAATCCAGGGTCAACCCTGTTATAAGTGTACCATTAATGTGAATTTATAATGATTTGCTTAAGAGGCAGTTTTTTTTAACTCTAGGAAGTTAAAGGTTATGGAATTGGGTTATACAGTGTTATATTGGCAATGATAAAGCTCTCTATTTTATGCAATCTTGTGTATTCTCTTATACATGTATAGATTTTAAAATTTTATTTTTCATAAACAATTTGAGTTTTATGGGTAGCAATCTTAAGTACTGAAGTAATCCTCTTATTATGTGTTGATTGGGAAGTGGATCAGCATGTTTTGAGAAGACTTGTGTCAAGTGGATTAGATTAGAACAGGGCCAACATTTTTTATTTTTATCAATTTTTTCCCATGGAGAGGTGTGCATATCGGAAAAATGTCTCAGTCCATATGAGCTGTATTACAGCAATGAAACATTATCCCTGTGTCCGCAAAAGTAAACAGTAGTTGATCATTTACAAGGAGGTGGACGCTTACGCATGGGTCTCGACAAGGATATTTCTTTTGGTGCGTATGCTGGAAGAGGCCACCATTTGCTTTTGAATTCCGAACATTACCTTGTGGGATCATAAAGGATTGGGATTTCTGGAATATTTCCATTTGTCAGAGGAGAGAACTCTTCTTTTCAATGGAGCAAGTTCTCTCCAGCCCTCAGGGGTGTTCTGAGTGGGAGGTGAATGGGAAAGCTGAGTGGGAATCTGAGCAGAATCCCCTTGGATTTCTCCTTATGGATAAAGAGAACAGTTCTGTTGATTCTACTAATGACGTTTTTCAGGAGAACGCCATAAACCTAGATGACTTATTTTGGTCCTCTCCGTATTCTGGGCAGACATATTCCTGGGAAAATGGTTTGGAATGTGTCTATCCCGATTGGAAGACTCAGCCTCCTCCTTCCCAAAATCTCAAAAGAGAGGGTTCTCCTGGAAGTTTGGAAATTGTTGATGGAGATCTCATCTGTTTTAATTCTAGATCTACTAGTCCTACGGTCTTAAATATGCAAGTGCAGAATCAAAACAACTTTTATGACCTCCCTGAACAGGTGCCTGATTTTCTGCAACCGGTGGAGGTTACTGCCACTTCAAGCCCTCTAGATGTGTACACAGGTGAGCTGGGTATTATTGACCCACTACTACAAGAAACCCACCTCCTTGAGGACACACATTTAACAAACGGTGAGTTCAGCCATAATTCCAAAACATTTGTGTACAATGACAGTCAGAGCTTGCTTCCACACGGGACTCATCTCACTCTGAATTCTGAAGGTTTGTTGCCCGTTTCTCTTGTGGAGTTGTCATGTACAGATACGAACTCAAATCCCAAGCCTTCAATTATTTGTCAGACACCTCTATCTACACCAGAACACATCTACTCATCCACAGCCCTTCCCTGTGAGCTCACCTCTCCGAAGATATGTACAGAACCACCTATTCTGCCATATCACGAGAGTAGTGCACCCCTTCCAATGGATGAGGTAGAGATGTTGTTACCCGGGCTGCTGGTTGGAGGTCTGTACTCTGAACAAGAGAGTAGTAAGCCCTCAGCTAGTAACGACACCCATGACGATGATCTTCAGAGCCAAGAGATGACAGACACTAACATGGAAACAACACAGCTGTCTTCTGAAGCAGAGACCGTTTGTAGGAGTCCGTTAGGTGTGTCTTGCATATCATCTGAACTTTGTGAAGAAATGTTGTGTGTTTTATCCACAGAATGTGAACCATTGGAAACGGTTGGAGAAGAGTTGGAGGAGGAGGTCGTGTCCAATGCTACAGCTGATAATGCTTTTTCTGAACCTGAAACAGGACTCGCACCAATTGCTTTTGTTGATTTGCAGTCAGAAGATCCTTCAACTGAAAGCCTGGTTGACATAGACGAACATAAGGAGTCCACAAGAGCCTTGCCACTCAGCACATCCGAGCATAATGCCTTAATTGAGCTCTCACCTGAAGATGACATCTTACCTGAGGACCACATCCAGCCCACACATTCAACTGAGGCTGAAGCCTTATCTGAGGTGTCCCATGATGGAGATATTCCTGATTCCATGTTTGAAATCTTCACAGACCGCATCTCTTGCGAAGCTCTGGCATTTTTAGACTCTGTAATTCCACCTGTAAGAGATGCTATTGAGCTAACAGAAAAGGAGAAATGTGACGCAAACACACCCGATCTTGACTCTAATGCACTCACCCTTGAATTTCAGGATAATGTAACAAATGTAGAAACCGACAACGTAGACAATGACCCTGAGGCTATGGAGACACAGCGAGCTGATCGTACACCCACAATAGGTAACACAGAGGACTCAGACACACTCAAAGTTTTAGAGATCTCAGATTTGCATAAAAATCAAAAGGGAACCAATTTGCAAAGTAAATCGGACAGTTTGCAAACTGTTTATTTAAACCTAGATGATAGTAAAGCTGACAACAATCAAGAACTGATTGCAATGAGTGAAACCTGTCAGGAACAAGTCAATGCTCAGCAAAAAGAGAGTGCACTTGAGGAAAATCTCACATCTTTGGACCAACTGAATGACTCTTTGACTGCAAACTCGAGTGCAGTTGTAATAGATGCACCTGAAGAAAATGCAACAGCTCACAATGACGGTCTCGATACACAGCCGAATGTGGAAGAGAAACCTCACAGTGAGTCTTTACACGGAGGGGAGAGATCAGATTGCTGTATGTCTACTCCGAATCAAGTCATACCTCATTGCGCAAGTAATCGTGATTCTTTAGAGTCCACGCCCCTCACCTGTGCAGGTGATCAGCTGACCGTGACGGGTGGACTAGTGGGGCTGGATCTTACAGAGACCACAGAGACTCCCAGCCAACTGTGTGAAGCTACAGGAGAGGGAAAGGCGGGGTTTCCTGCTCAGCTTACACATCAGGAGGATTTCCATCAGCTGACACCATCACAGATAGACCTGGCACAAGAGCAACAAGTGAGCTCAGTCGCTGTGTGTGTGTGTGTGTGTGTGTGTGTGTGTGTGTGAGACAGCAGAGCTTGTGTATTGCTGCTGATGAGAGAGAGCGCGAGAGAGACTGAAACATCATCCGTCGACTAGAAAAACAGGACCTCACGATCTCATCCTAAATCTCAGGTTGCAGGTTAGCGGATAAATCGGATTAAAATAAAAGGGATTCGCGCTTTATTTATGGGATTATCGGTGGTCTCGCTGATTTGATCCCGCTAACAGGCTAATAACAAGCGCAGGTGGATGACTCGCGAGACTCGACCTGGATGTTGGCCTGTTTTTACAAAATACAAACCGGAATAAAACGCCTAGCATCCAACCAAACAAAGGGATTAAATCAAGTCTGACTGGAACCAGAAACATCAGGGGTCTTCTGTTATTTTCAAATGAGCGGGGGTCGTATGGGCCAGCTAGTCGGCTAATGGGTTTACCTCAGATGTGGAGGATGCTGATGCTAACCGCGCGAGACATTCTAGCATTTAACGTTAAGGTTTTTTTTGTCTAATAACACAATGACAGCTGTTTAAAACATAGTCTGTTGTGCTTAACATATAACAATTGCAGATATGTTAAGATTTATTCTCTGTGACAGCGAGACAATCTGAGTAAAATAATTGAATACACTGGCTTGTGCTTTTACACCGTAATCTGACTTTAATAATTAGTAGTTAATCCAGGGTCAACCCTGTTATAAGTGTACCATTAATGTGAATTTATAATGATTTGCTTAAGAGGCAGTTTTTTTTAACTCTAGGAAGTTAAAGGTTATGGAATTGGGTTATACAGTGTTATATTGGCAATGATAAAGCTCTCTATTTTATGCAATCTTGTGTATTCTCTTATACATGTATAGATTTTAAAATTTTATTTTTCATAAACAATTTGAGTTTTATGGGTAGCAATCTTAAGTACTGAAGTAATCCTCTTATTATGTGTTGATTGGGAAGTGGATCAGCATGTTTTGAGAAGACTTGTGTCAAGTGGATTAGATTAGAACAGGGCCAACATTTTTTATTTTTATCAATTTTTTCCCATGGAGAGGTGTGCATATTGGAAAAATGTCTCAGTCCATATGAGCTGTATTACAGCAATGAAACATTATCCCTGTGTCCGCAAAAGTAAACAGTAGTTGATCATTTACAAGGAGGTGGACGCTTACGCATGGGTCTCGACAAGGATATTTCTTTTGGTGCGTATGCTGGAAGAGGCCACCATTTGCTTTTGAATTCCGAACATTACCTTGTGGGATCATAAAGGATTGGACTTTCTGGAATATTTCCATTTGTCAGAGGAGAGAACTCTTCTTTTCAATGGAGCAAGTTCTCTCCAGCCCTCAGGGGTGTTCTGAGTGGGAGGTGAATGGGAAAGCTGAGTGGGAATCTGAGCAGAATCCCCTTGGATTTCTCCTTATGGATAAAGAGAACAGTTCTGTTGATTCTACTAATGACGTTTTTCAGGAGAACGCCATAAACCTAGATGACTTATTTTGGTCCTCTCCGTATTCTGGGCAGACATATTCCTGGGAAAATGGTTTGGAATGTGTCTATCCCGATTGGAAGACTCAGCCTCCTCCTTCCCAAAATCTCAAAAGAGAGGGTTCTCCTGGAAGTTTGGAAATTGTTGATGGAGATCTCATCTGTTTTAATTCTAGATCTACTAGTCCTACGGTCTTAAATATGCAAGTGCAGAATCAAAACAACTTTTATGACCTCCCTGAACAGGTGCCTGATTTTCTGCAACCGGTGGAGGTTACTGCCACTTCAAGCCCTCTAGATGTGTACACAGGTGAGCTGGGTATTATTGACCCACTACTACAAGAAACCCACCTCCTTGAGGAAACACATTTAACAAACGGTGAGTTCAGCCATAATTCCCAAACATTTGTGTACAATGACAGTCAGAGCTTGCTTCCACACGGGACTCATCTCACTCTGAATTCTGAAGGTTTGTTGCCCGTTTCTCTTGTGGAGTTGTCATGTACAGATACGAACTCAAATCCCAAGCCTTCAATTATTTGTCAGACACCTCTATCTACACCAGAACACATCTACTCATCCACAGCCCTTCCCTGTGAGCTCACCTCTCCGAAGATATGTACAGAACCACCTATTCTGCCATATCACGAGAGTAGTGCACCCCTTCCAATGGATGAGGTAGAGATGTTGTTACCCGGGCTGCTGGTTGGAGGTCTGTACTCTGAACAAGAGAGTAGTAAGCCCTCAGCTAGTAACGACACCCATGACGATGATCTTCAGAGCCAAGAGATGACAGACACTAACATGGAAACAACACAGCTATCTTCTGAAGCAGAGACCGTTTGTAGGAGTCCGTTAGGTGTGTCTTGCATATCATCTGAACTTTGTGAAGAAATGTTATGTGTTTTATCCACAGAATGTGAACCATTGGAAACGGTTGGAGAAGAGTTGGAGGAGGAGGTCGTGTCCAATGCTACAGCTGATAATGCTTTTTCTGAACCTGAAACAGGACTCGCACCAATTGCTTTTGTTGATTTGCAGTCAGAAGATCCTTCAACTGAAAGCCTGGTTGACATAGACGAACATAAGGAGTCCACAAGAGCCTTGCCACTCAGCACATCCGAGCATAATGCCTTAATTGAGCTCTCCCCTGAAGATGTCAGCTTACCTGAGGACCATATCCAGCCCACACATTCAACTGAGGCTGAAGCCTTATCCGAGGTGTCCCATGATGGAGATATTCCTGATTCCATGTTTGAAATCTTCACAGACCGCATCTCTTGCGAAGCTCTGGCATTTTTAGACTCTGTAATTCCACCTGTAAGAGATGCTATTGAGCTAACAGAAAAGGAGAAATGTGACGCAAACACACCCGATCTTGACTCTAATGCACTCACCCTTGAATTTCAGGATAATGTAACAAATGTAGAAACCGACAACGTAGACAATGACCCTGAGGCTATGGAGACACAGCGAGCTGATCGTACACCCACAATAGGTAACACAGAGGACTCAGACACACTCAAAGTTTTAGAGATCTCAGATTTGCATAAAAATCAAAAGGGAACCAATTTGCAAAGTAAATCGGACAGTTTGCAAACTATTTATTTAAACCTAGATGATAGTAAAGCTGACAACAATCAAGAACTGATTGCAATGAGTGAAACCTGTCAGGAACAAGTCAATGCTCAGCAAAAAGAGAGTGCACTTGAGGAAAATCTCACATCTTTGGACCAACTGAATGACTCTTTGACTGCAAACTCGAGTGCAGTTGTAATAGATGCACCTGAAGAAAATGCAACAGCTCACAATGACGGTCTCGATACACAGCCGAATGTGGAAGAGAAACCTCACAGTGAGTCTTTACACGGAGGGGAGAGATCAGATTGCTGTATGTCTACTCCGAATCAAGTCATACCTCATTGCGCAAGTAATCGTGATTCTTTAGAGTCCACGCCCCTCACCTGTGCAGGTGATCAGCTGACCGTGACGGGTGGACTAGTGGGGCTGGATCTTACAGAGACCACAGAGACTCCCAGCCAACTGTGTGAAGCTACAGGAGAGGGAAAGGCGGGGTTTCCTGCTCAGCTTACACATCAGGAGGATTTCCATCAGCTGACACCATCACAGATAGACCTGGCACAAGAGCAACAAGTGAGCTCAGTCGCCCCCAGCTCTCCTCCCTCACACAGAAATGTCTTTCCCTGTGGAGCCAGCCTGGATGGGGAGGCCTACCAGACCTTGATGGAGAATAATCCTGATACTCCCAACATTCCCAAACATGCGGAAATGACTCTGGATCTGTGCAAGGCCTCAGATGCTCTGCTGACCAAATCGCTCCATGACCAGAGGGTCCCCGTGGATTTGATAAACGTGCCTATAGTTTCTGCAACAGCCCATAAAGGCGATGAGCAGTTGGCTCTCAGAGCGGTTTTCCATGCTTTGGATCAGGACGGAGATGGATTTGTCCATATTGAGGAGTTCATCGAGTTTGCAAAAGCATATGGAGCCGAACAGGTCAGTTTTTGGTGTATCCGTGTCTATTTGTGTGAGTTTGTGGTGGCTAAATGTTGGGTGGGGGGTGTAAATGTTATAAAAGTGCCTTATGATTACAGAACAGAGTGTGTCTTCTCTTGGTTCCCAAAGCTCATAGTGAAACTTGATCATGTTGACACCCAAGAACTGCTCTTTTATTATTCAAACCCTCAAAGACTGAGAATACCACTCTTGTCCTGTATCTCTCGCTCTTTCTTTCATGGTGTTTTCCCTTTTTTAACTATTTAGCATCAGTTTAAATGATCTTTGCAAGTATTAATACACTTTTTAATGTCTTGTAATGATCTCTTAAACTTCTTACCGAAGTTTATTTATTTATATTTATATATTCAATTGTGTAGTAACTTGTAATAGTTTAATAGCTTAACTTGAACATCAGCTGTTTAAAAGAATGTTCTAGGTTCAATACAGTTCAGTCCAGTCCAGTGTTTAAAAAACAATTGAGGTTATGGTAAGATGTTTACAATGGAAAAAAATGGGGACTAGAAATGTGAAGTTCATAGTTTCTTCTAACCACTTGCATTACGTTTTCTGTTAAAAGTTGTGTATTATTTGAGCTTTCAAGCTCTTTAATTCATCATTTTTACAGCTGTTTTATAGCATTGCAAAGTTGTAAAATAACTTTGCGTAGAAATGGTTAGTAGGAATTTTTTTTACACTAAAAATCATGTTGAAACTCATTTTTGTGTCTATACTATTGAAACGAACTACTCTTGAAGACTGATTTTTTAAAAATTTTAAACAAAAAGGGACAAGTGGCAATTTATTTTTGTCATCATCACAGGTTCTGTCAATTTTAGCTTAATTTGTTCTAAAACAGGAATAATCCTGGTAGTTAAGTAGGGAAAAAGTTTTAGTTTAGTAAGTCATGTGATTGACACCTAAACTGAGAGTAGATCAATAATAGATAACGTATGGCTGAAATGTATGAATTGATTTGTGTTTGAAATGCATGCGAGCGCATATAATAAAATATGGTCCTCTGAATTGTTTGACGAGCATTAATGATGTTGCACTAGTGTTTATAGGTGTTTATCATTATATGTATTTGGCAGGTCAGACAAGTGATGCTAGATATTCAGAAGGAGGATGTATTTATTTTCAAACTGCTTTTGAGACCTAACATTGAATACAGGATGTACCAACTTCAAAATCCCTCTGTGGTTATTTTGCAGTTCAGATGAGAATATAGATTTGCATTCCTGTTAATTCCTGATCCCCCAGACACATGCCATTGTGTATTTAAGAGAGGATGGATTAGATGCCGGAAATCTGGCTCTTTTGTGACCGTTAAAACTGCTGATACAATCAGCTGAAAGGTTAAACGGGCAGATAGAGATGATAGAGAGGGGTGCATTGACAAATAAACTCTTTTATTTGTCTTATCATCATTGTTATTAATCTTTTCCCAAATGCACTTGCACTGTACATAGGTAATGAAACATGTGACTTATTTTTGCATTTGTCTTTGAGATTAGTCTAATTTTGCAATGAGCTTGTGACAGTGTGATAGGTTTAAATTTTAACCACTCTGTCATGAGAAAAGGATCACATATTTGCAACACTAAGCAAGTTTGTGTGTTCTTTATAAGGTAGTTTATGGTTTCAGGAATGCAATTGCAAACCATACACCGTCCCAGCCTCGAGGGTCATTCCTTTGTCTGCATGACTGTGATTGGACTCAATTTTGCGCTGGTTTCTTCTCGTGGTACGAGTGTACGTTATAAGAGCTTGCTCAGCTGGTTGGCTCACTGAGATGTTTTATGACTAAAAGGGTGGAGAGAAATAAACTTGATGAAGAATCAGGGAGACAGAAAATGATATGATGTAAAAAAATAAATGCTGAGTGTGTGTGTGGATTGTATTGGTCTCAGAAATGTTTTCAGTACAGACTGGAGAAGAGATTGTGTCTGTGTGAATCGCAGGGTGTCCGCGGGGTCTTAAAAAGTTTTAAAAGTTGATAAATCAATTGAGATAAAATTAAAGCCCTTTATAGCTATTAAAAAGTCTTAAATGCCATTTTCCAAGGTATTGAATTTTGTATCATCTTTTCATTATGTATATTTGTCCGAATAGTGGGGTTTTGTGTAGCTTATTTATGGAATCCCGCAAGATTTGATGTCATCTGTTACGGCTCTCACAGACTGGCGCCGCCGCTGCGTGATAGCGCGGGGCTTGTTGATCCCGCTCACGCTGAACTTCTGAGCATTACCGCATGCTCCCATCCACTCCCGCAAACATTCTAATATTGTGTATAATTTTCGCACATCAGGGCACCACTATCAATATGTGAATTAGCGCTTGCAGTCACAGTTTACTTTCACTTTCGATTTCGAGATTGCGCATGCACTGTGTATAGGGAGCACATATTACGATAAAAGATATTTGTCAGTGAGCTCGGGATCTGTTGAGGAGCAAATCCTCCAACATCTTTATCAGTTATCTCTCCTTCCTTTTGACCCGTGATCAGTCAGCTCGAGTTGGATGCAGGGTTGTTGTTGTTTTTTTCCACGAAATTGGGCTGCTTTTAAACTGTTGCCATGGGCTGATTTTCCCCAGTGGGTTAAAGGTTTGAAATATTGCATAAATTACATTTGGTTGAAATGCTTGTACTGAAACATTTTGCATTCCACCTGTAATAAAACTATGCTAAATGTTTTGGGCCACACTAGTGGGAAGCATTTGAGCTGTGTTTATGATAAATGTGCATAACAGTGACTGTAAAATATGTATTTTAGGAATGGAAATTACATTTTGATATTTGAGACATAATTGCGCTACTTTGGGCTGTTTTTTTTTTTTTTACTGGCATGGGCTTGGGATGCACAATTAAAATGATGTAATAGTTGTGATCATTATTTTACCTTCCATGATCATTCAGACACGATCAGGTGGAGTACTGACACTCTGTCAAGTCTGTATCAAATCAAGCACTCCGTAATCACAGTTAAACCTGTCTGATCAGTCAGATGTTTGTCATGAGAAGTGTTCCACAAAACAGCTATGGTTTGAGTTGATGCGACAAATACATCTTTTGAATATACTGTGAACTCATTGCTCCGTTAGCTCGGAGAGCTTTATTTTCCCTCCTCCGTAAGTTTTGTGAGTTGTTTTGTTTATTGGTCTAATTCTTGTTTCTTGGGTTGCATTGGTTAGTCACTCAATTAATTCTCTTGTGCTTTGTTCCCCCCTTCTGAATTATGTTGCATTGATAAGGAGTTATCACAAAGTAAGACTATTTAGTTGTGCTATCTTACAAACAGTATAGAGTAAATGTAAGTGTTGCAGATGTAACCAGTTAAAACTTGGAGTGGCGATGAGGACTTAAAATGTATAGAAAGAGTTTTAAAAAAGGTCTTAAAAGGTATTAAATTTAACTCCATGATTCCTGTATATACCCTGGCATGTGTCTTTAATTATGTCATTTCCATGTCTTTTTTATCTGTGTGATACGGTTGCTATGGGATTGTGTGACGTTAGATGCAAATTCTTACCCAGAAGTAGTGTTTTCCAGGAAGGAACTGGTAATTAGCATCAGGTAGCAGAGCAAAACTGTCCATGTGTGACTCTATAAGAAAGCTGTTGTTACTGTGCTTTTTAAAATGTAAGAAAGTGAAAAGAATAAAGAATAATTTCTCTGTATGGGGTGAATTAGCTTGTGAAGACCTAAAAAACCTAGTGTTTTAAATCAAGATCAACGGCCTAAGGTTTTTAATGACTTTTTTCTGCTTTAATCGTAATTGATGTGGTTCAGTCAGTCACAGTTTTTTGATGTGTGAAATCAAAGTGACGCCACTCATGTGACTGATTCGTGACTCGCTGGTTTTCACACTTGGACTTAAGATGCTTTTATATACAGGGGGTGAAACAGCTCCTCGCCTGCCCCACATTACAGTCATTACCTAAAGCAGTCATTTGATTAATTAAAGGAAATTTGATTGTACAGGTGATAAAATACCAGGAATAATCTTTAAATGATTGTTTACCTGATAGAAATTTATTGATAAACAACTTGTGTATTATATAGTTATTTTAGTATTTTTATGTACTATTACAAATTTTATTCATATTTTGAATTAGTTTTTAAAAAAAATATATTTTCAGTTTTCTTTTTAATTTAATGTAAGTTTTGGTAAATTGTATTTATTTAATTATTTTTTTTATTTAGTTTTAATTGATTTCCATTTTAGTTTCATTTTTTTGTTTTGTATTCTATTTTATTTCAGCTTTATTTCAATTAAAAAAATATTTTAGTAGTTTTAGTTTTTGTATTAGTTAACAGCAATAACCCTGTTTCCTACATAGTAATTTAAAGTGCTAATTCACTGTCATCATTTACTCACACTCATGAAACACCTGTATGAGTTTCTTTCTTTTGTTAAGCACAAAAGAAGATATTTTGAAGAATGTTGGTAACGAGACAGTTGACAGTAGCCGTTGACTTACATAGTATTTTTATTGTATGTGTAAATTGGTGCCTTTAAGAGCTAAAATATCATGCACACAAACAGAGTTTAAAGGGGTCATCGGATGCCCATTTTCCACAAGTTGATATGATTCTTTAGGGTCTTAATGAAAAGTCTGTAACACACTTTGGTTAAAATTTCTCAATGGTAGTGTAAAAAACACCTTTTTTACCCTGTCAAAATCAGCTCTGTTTTCAGCAAGCCATTCTAGTCCATGTTGCTTTAAATGCTAATGAGCTCTGCTGACCCCGCCCCTCTCTTCCGTGGGGTGACGAGCAGACTGTAAACTTCAGCCGCAAAACTGGCTAACTAGCACGTTATTAGGAAAGGCGATTTACAAAGATTCATAAAAAAACCCTTATACTCACTACTTCTGTTGAAGCTGGATCACAAATGATTCGCGCGAACATAGACGCATTTAGGTAGATCGGGGATCGGCGCATTCCCTTCAAAACGAAAGTAGCGTTAATCCACTGCATCTTCAGCGGCTCAGATGTCGGGAGTAAATGACGACTTCTATATTCATTATTACATCCAACAGCAGAACACCTCAATCGCTTAATTGGAGATGTTCTTGTCTTCCTCTGCACCGGAGTCGACACAATGGCGGACTGATGACAGCTCACTCAGGGCGGGTCCAAGGTAAGACGCTAGTGTCAATCAACTATCGTGGGAGGGGCCTGTGCAGAACTACGTCATTGTGACAGGAATCTCAGAACAGCCTGATTTGAGAAAGGGGATTTTAAAATAGGGATTTAAAAAAACACACTGGGTGGATTTTTATCATTATAGGATGGCTGTGTACACACACTTCCAACACACATTTATGTTCAAACTTGTAAAGTGAATTTTTGCATCCGATGACCCCTTTAATGATTAGGCAACAGTTTGATGTTTTGATCTCTCGGTTGGAGGTATCTGAATATTTTTGTGGTTTTACTTTGAGAACTCTGATTCTGGAACTCACGACTGTCCTGCTGGATATCAGTTCTGCTGTTGCCTGGTTACCGACTGTGTGTAATTGTGTCTGTTCACTGGAGTGTATCGAGACTGTGTGTGTGTAAGAGAGAGAATGTGTGTTTTACCACCATATATCAGGGACGGACTGATTTTGTCTGTTTTGTTTATCCTTGAGTTACAAATAAGTTTATATAATGTTTTGTTCTTAAATAGAAGATAATGCATAGATGAAGAAAAATGCTAAAACAAGCCTAGGTCACTTTTGTGTCTCTTATTCTCACTTTTTTTTGGTGATGTGCAGTTTTTCATTTGTGCAGGGGAAATTAAGATCGCATTTCATTCTTTCATCTTTTTTTCCGTTTTGTGGGAGAATCCGTTTGTGTGTTTTGTTGACATTAAATGTATGATGATGTTGCAGCTCTGTTTGTGTAAGATGAATAGTTTGTGTGTTTTTTCGTGTTTGTTGAGTGCTGTGTGTTTGTGGTTTCAGGTGAAGGATCTGACACGGTTCTTGGATCCCAGTGGTCTGGGTGTGATCAGTTTTGAAGATTTCCACAGAGGCATCAGCGCAATCAGCAATGAAGGTACATCAGCAGCACATACAAACACACTCAAGGCATGCTTTAAATCAGGGGTGCCCAAGCTCGGTCCTGAAGGGCCGGTGTCCTGCAGAGTTTAGCTCCAACCCCAATTAAACACACCTGAACCAGCTAATCAAACTCTTACTAGACATGCTAGAAACTTTGTAGCAGGTGTGTTGAGGCAAGTTGGAGCTAAACTCTGCAGGACACCGGCCCTCCAGGACCGAGTTTGGGCACCTCTGCTTTAAATCATGTTGGGAGTTTCCATTAACATCTGTTGTTCGTAATTAGAGATCAATTATACTATAGACTAATCCAAACCCTAAAATAGAATTTTTGTCAATTTCAGAACAGAATAAAAATATTATTTAAACCCTTTAAGCAGCATTTTTTTTCTTTTTCATGAACATCTCCAAAAGGACTTTTTTTCAGGTTTGGCTAGAGTTTTCGTCATCAGTTTTGTCCTCAAAAGAATAGCCAAGACAGAAATACAAACATCTTGTTTTCTTGATGACTGCGTGATAATCTGACTCTATTTAGTAATCCTGATTGAGAGTTCGCATTTCCTGAAATACTTTGTAGAAAAACAAAGCGCAAAATAATGAGTCAGAGCATCTGCGAATTACTCACAGTGAATCACACCGCTGAAATGGGAATTATGAGTTTCTTTATAGAGAAAAGAGTCTCCGAAGAGCTTTTACTTGCCACACAAGAGCATTAACATGACTGATATATTTAGAGTTATAGCTAGATTAAACATTCAAACTAAGTGAATTCATACCATAATACATAACACAACCTGATCTTAAATGCAAAAATAATGTGGCAAAGCACACATGATAATCCTCAGATGTCTGCTGTCATAGTTTTCTTGAAGACACCTGCATTAGACACCTGCTAGACACAGATGCTTTACACATTTCAATCTGTTCTCTAAACCTGCAGAATAGTTAGTCTGGATTTGGTTAACATGTGTTTCAAAACTTAGTAAACTCTCTTCCTAGGAAAGAAATAGTTCAGCCAGAAATGTAAATTTGCTAAAATTCACTTGTCCACAGGTCATCCAAGATGTAGATGAGTTTGTATCTTCATCGGAGCAAATTTGGAGAAATGTAGCATTGCATCACTTGCTCAGCAATGGATCCTCTGCAGGGAATGGGTGCCGTCAGAATGAGAGTCCAAACAGCTGATAAAAACATCACAATAATCCACAAGTAATCCACACCACTCCAGTCTAGCAGTTAACATCTTGAGAAGTGAAAAGCTGTGTGTTTGTGAGAAACAAATTCATCAAGATATTTTTAACTTCAAACGGTTACTTCTGGCAAAAATATGAGTCTATAATCCATAATAAGTCTTCCTCCAGTGAAAAAGTGGTCCAGTCTGAATCAGGAGAGAAATCTGCACAGATCAAGCATTGGTAACAGATCTAAACAAATGTATGGTTGTATTTTGATATGAGAGGACAACAGGGAATAGAGGAAGTGTTATTATGGATTATGGACCGGTATTTTAGCTTGACTATTTAACATTTAAAATGCCTTAATGATGGATTTGTTTCTTGCAAACACGCAGCTTTTGGCTTCATAACACATTAACTGATGGACTGGAGTGCTGTGAATTATTGTGATGTTTTTATCAACTGTTTGGACTCTCATTCTGACGGCACCCATTCACTGCAGCGCATCCATTGGTGAGCAAGTGATGTAATGCCAAATATTTAACTGTTTATTTTCCTAAAAATGTGGTCTATGTTGGCTGCTCACTGACTATATTTCAAAGCAAATCCATACACTAGCAGGCTCATACACTCCCCATCTCTCTTTAAATCTATGATGATGATGCAGGAATAGCTTAAAGTACTTTGCTTGGGTTTTCTACTGATAATACTTCAGTAATGAGGGTGATCATGTTTCTAATGGCCTGCTGGGCGTCCAGTGTTTCACGAGTCAGATTTCTCTCTTCATTAATGGATGAGTGACTGGAGCATCTACCTCTCCCTGCCTGTCTATTTGTACTCCATAACATTTACCAGATTCAAGGAAACATTTTTCAGGAGGAAAATATTCCATCTAGCTGAAACGGACTATTACATAAATATAGTTTCGTGGACTCCAGACAGCCCAGTTGCTCAGTGTTTGCTCAAAAACATAAAGAGAATGTGAATATCATGAACCGCTGGTGATGTTGATCAACCAAACAGTAGTTTTTTCTATATATATCAATCTAAACAGTTATCAATAGTTCTGTCAAAATCCTATTTTAAGATGGTTTTCTTTATCAGGTTCTGATCCAGATCTCTACAAGACTCATCTCAGTGCAGTGGAAGCCAATGGACCTCCAGAGGAATATGACGAGGTATAACACACCAGCGTTGTGGTTATTGTGGCCAATTCTCCTCCCCTCTTGTCATGACAAACATAATAAATCAGAATTTCAGGACCCCATTATTGCAGAATCGTGGATTCTAGACCAGCACATTCCACAAATTCCCCAAAAGATTGAAAGACCACAGAATAGGAGAAACGGAGCATGTTCATTGCTCTGCTACAGCGCCTCCTGCTGGCTCAGTGGTGAAATGTGTATTCAGCTCATTCATTATTTACTAACTACATATTCAGTAGTGTGTCAGAAGGACATATGTGACCCTGGAGCACAAAAGCAGTCTTAAGTCGCTGGGGTATATTTGTAGCAATAGCTAAAAAACATTGTATCGGTCAAAATTAGCGATTTTTCTTTTATGCCAAAAATCATTAGGATATTAAGTAAAGATCATGTTCCATGAAGATATTTTGTAAATTTCCTACCGTAAATATATCAAACTTAATTTTTGATTAGTAATATGCATTGCTAAGAACTTCATTTGGACAACTTTAAATGCAATTTTCTCAATATTTAGATTTTTTTTGCACCCTCAGATTCCAGATTTTCAAATAGTTGTATCTCGGCCAAATATTGTCCTGTCCTAACAAACCATACATCAATGGGCAGCTTATTTATTTCAATTTTCAAAAAAATTGACCCTTATGACTGGTTTTGTGGTCCAGGGTCACATATAATAATATTAGTTTACATTTCCAAACATTCCTTTGTTTGGAAATGTAAACTGATATTTCCTACTGACACACTACAGCAAAAGATAGAAATAACTGACTTAAAACCATTTTTTGTTGGTGGAAATACTAGTGGCCTAAGACTTTTGCACAGTAGTCTATATATGTTCTTTGTTTCTTTTCTATTAGTAAGTGTGTGACATTTCAGATTTCTTTAAGTGAAATTTCTAGTTAGATGCTTGTGTATATTACTATATTTTAAACCCATTCATAAAATTTTAAGTGTATTCTAGTTTTTTAGTTCTCGGTGTAAGTTTCCTTCAAATTTTAATTTGTTCGTTCAAAAACATGTTTGGCCCTTCAGTGTGGTTAACTACTCTTTTTGTAACTGTAACGGTTTTATATTTTAAGCTAGCTTTACTGTAGTTTAAGATAACCACTTTATTAAATTATGGTTCGCTTAATCTGTATGCCTCCGCGTCTACAATGGTTGTGGCCCCGTCTATCAAAAGCTTTAATTATAATAGAGTTTTATAACTCTTTAAGAGTTATATCTGCAATAATATAATGTGTCAGTAAACATAAACTCTTCTGAATCTGCAAATGCGGCTTATTATTCCCTGCAGTATTTAGCATATTCATTTTGTAAATACAGAAATATGCAATGTGCTGCTTCAGGGTCTTGTTTTTGCGATCTGATTTTCCCTTTCCTCGTTTCTGTTTTCCCGTCACTTCTAATGAAACACATACTCACACACACCTGTGTGGGTCATGAATGGCTGTGCTGTTTCCGTGTTTGCTTTCAAAACACACCACCTCATCCAGAGGAACAAACACACACACATATGGTTGACAATATACAGGACAGACTGGTGATAGATTTTTTTATAACACACGCATGCACACACCTGTCAGTCATCAGAACATATGATTGTTGCAGCACGTGCCGTCATGAATAAGTGTTTTGTGCATGTTGGGTGTGAATTGTTAATGTTTTGCTAGTGGTCCTCCTACCTAGACAGCATTTTTGGCCATCATAGACACACTAAAAATGCTGTCTAAGTAGACAGAACACTTGGTTTTGAGTCACAGCCACATAATGTATGCACACACTCTGTTTGGTGTGGTGAGAAGTTCTGTTGGCACGTGAGTGTAATGTTAATTAAAGGGGCGGTGTCAGGGGCACAGACTCCGCCCATTCCTGGTCTTGGTGTCCTTCAGACTTTGGTCCTTATTTTCCAAGGCAGCAGACTAGGAGTAATTTCTCTCTCTGGTGACTCTATGTGGGGACTGTGAGAGGGACAGGAAGCAGCTGTTGTTAGTTTTTAGGTTCATTAGTGAACCTGTTTTTCCCGTGTGACGGTACTCAAGTAGGAAGAATGGTTCTGGGAATGGCCTCTCCTGTTTTAAGAGCTCCTCACAGACTCACACAGGTACGTTGGGCACTGAGATGCAGGCTTTCTGATGGAGTTTGTACCTTTGGTTAGAGCTTACTGACCGACTGAAGGTTTGAGATTTATTTTGGGCGTTGTTTTTTTAAACAACTTAAGAAATTGAACAAAGTTTCTCACTTTTAAATTAAATGTAAAAATGTAATGTTTTATATAGTAAAGAGTATAGATAAATATACAGTGGGACAAGGTTTATACATTTTATTTCTTTATTTGTAGTTTTTTTTTGTAAAACAAACAAATGTATCACATAACAGGCAAAGGGGAAAATAAACGGTAGGACAAGGGGCATAATTTCTGTTGTAATTTTTTTTACAAGAAAATGTTTTGCATAATATAAAAATTAGAACAAAGGGAAAAATAAAAAGTAGAACAAGGGGTATACATTCTGTGTATTATTTTTTAACCTTTTTTAATTTTTGATTTTTTTAAATATTCTACTTGGTGTAAAAAAAGAAAATACACAGTAGAAAAAGGGGTTTTACATACATTTGCATTTTTTCCTTTATTGTGCCCAGTTTTTTTTTCCTGTCATTATTATTATTTAATCATTGTTGATGTATTGTTTATGTAAATATCCACCTTAGACAAGATGCACCTTCATAGTACATTTAAACTTTGCAATAAATAACAACAAAGCAACAGTTTGGTTTGTGAGAGTCTTTTAAAGTTAAACCCCTTGTTTTTGTGCAGTGGATGATTGACAGGTGAGTAGGCTGTTATCTGGAAAGCATCGGAACAGATGAGCATTTACACTACAAATGCAATGTGGTCACATGTGTTTTCAACCACTCCTGAATGCATCGGATAATTTTGTTCTGTAAACAGTCGTTGCAAACATTAATAACCTCCCGCCCATGTGTTTGCGTGTTGCTGTTTAAAAAAAGCATGAGCTGGTGAAATGGACGAAAATGCTTTGAAAAGTATAAACTTAAACATTTCTCATCAAATTCTTCCAAAACCAAATGATCTGAGCTGTTATCCACATTCATTTTATAACTCTGTATTCTTACCGCATGTCAATCATTGATTGAGTTGTTTCTAGGAGAAACCTCTGAGACAAAGTTGATACTTGCAGCATAAGCGGGAACGCCTTTATGTCTCCAAAAGCAATAAAAGTTTTCAAATCAGTGTGTGTGTGTTTGCAGCAGGCGGAGGTCTCAGACAGCGCATATCTCGGGTCGGAGAGCGCCTACAGTGAGTGTGAAACCTTCACGGACGAGGACACGACGGCTCTGGTCCATCCAGAACTCCATGAGGACGTGGAGACCGACAGCGGCATTGAAAACACACTCACGGATGGAGACGACCACAACAGGTAACATACCAAAACACAGGTGTCAAATAACATGCCCAAAGAGACTGGATTCATTAATCACCCAAAATTATGCCATAAATGCTGTGTTGTTATTAAAGGAATAGTGCACCCAAAATTTAATTCAGAAATGTACTCACTCAGGCCATCCAAAATGTAGAAGAGACTGTTTCTTCATCAGAACAGACTTGCTTACCAATGGATGCTCTGCAGTGAATGGGTGCCGTCAGAATGTGAGTCCAAACAGCTGATAAAAACATCACAATAATCCACAAGTAATCCACACCACTCCAGTCTATCAATTAACATCTTGTGAAGAAAATAATATAATATTTATTTAAATAAAGCTGAAGCTCAAACGAGAAATGTTTAAGAAATAAGCTTAAAGGTGCAATAGGTGATTGTTTTCAGAAACATTTTTTGTTATGCTGGTTGAAGGTCTCTTCATATCCCGATAGCAAGCATTAAGTTAAGTGGTCTAAATGTATTTATATACTCTGTGGAAGGCGTAGGACCATGAAATGTTCGTCCTATCAAAACTCTCGGTCCGAGCGTTTTAATTGGCTTTCCTACCTGTATTTGCATACCTCTGCGCACCCAGTTCGCGCAGACAGGATACATCACCAGCGCGTTCACGCACACTGTGCAGACAGAGCGAGACTGGCAGACAAACATCAACAACCCAATCTTCCTTCCTGGTATTGTAGTACTTTAAAATTTTTCTCACCGGTGAATGACACATGATGTAGCCCAGTCCTCGCGCACCCCGCTCAGCATATTTTGCATGTCTCGCTTAGTTAACAGACCCGATTCAGATAACCAGCTTGTTAGACGTGAGCTACGTGAATGAACTGTTCTCCGATCGATATGATCCCTACAGTGTTCATTGCTCCCTACTCCCTGGGCAGGGGAAATCCGTTTAAATTTACTTCACTTCGGAACATGGGCTGGAATTGGGAACCTCTGATGTAGCCTATTGTAGTAATGTTGTCTCTGGTATTCTGGTCTGTGAGCGTAAATGCGTTCAGGGGGCGTGGCTTTGGACGGCGATTGCAGGGAGAATGGGACGTTCGCTTTCAGTGCTATCAGGCTAAAGTTAACAGTTTCCAAGATCTCCTACTGCACCTTTAAGTTGAAGAAGTACAAAAACTACTAGAACTGAAACTCAATTAAAAAATAAAAATAGAAAAAACTCATTCAAATTACAAACATATAACATAATTAAAATTACACAACACAATTAAAAAGTATAAAAACAAAAGATAGTTCAAAATATATAAAAATATAAAAAATACTAAAATAACACTGCAGAAATGTGATGACATCATGTCTAATGGTGACTGTTCACCTGTAAACCGTGTCGTTTCAGTAGCCTTGAATGTATCTGCAATAAACTCACAAAATACTGATACTATGTATCAGCTTTGGACACTGGTCTTTAATTTCTTTTAGTTTTACAAGGCAGGCGCCACAAAAACAATTCATGCCACGTAATGCCACATAAGTGTTGAGCAGAGGTGATGGGTTATAATACAAAATAAGATTTCGCTTAAATTATTTTTCATTTTTGACATTGCATTGGATTGCATTTGTCCTAACTTTTGTGCAGTAAGTGTGCAGTGATAAGTCTGTTTATGTGTGTTTATGCAAGAATCTGCTGACTAGAGTTTCTTATTTCCCAAGAGCCGCTAACATCAGCTCAGCTGACCGAGGTGTTCCTGTTTCCCGTGTTATCAGTGTCAGTCTTTATTTTCCTGTTGCCCAGTTGCTGGAAGTGTGGAGTTGACTCTTTCTGCCTTCCTGCGGCCCAGAGTTTCTCCCATCTTTCACTCTCTAGGGTCTGTTTCTCTCTCGCTCTTACTCGCTTCTGTCATTGTAAAATCTCCTGGCTCTCAGTCCTCATGCGTTTCTCTTGATTTAGCTGTGTCAGGGTCACGCTGTCTCGCCAATGCTGACCTTCCCAAAACTCACATTCTGAGTTACGGAAAATGCATAATCATATTTACGATAACTTGCAGATTTCTCTCTAGATCTTTGACTTCCGGTCTCAGATATCAGTGCTTAGCATTTAGGGTTTGTTCAGATCCCACAGACTAGCCTTAGTTTACCTACCTAACAAGGTTTACTTATTCAATTTTGTTGCATTATTAATGCAACGTGTTTCTGTGTTAAATATGTGTTTGAGTATCAGTTGGACAACATAAGTTTATGCATACAGAGATTAAACTGATTGCAGAGCATGTTAGCACACACACTGGGTCACCGTTACTGAGCTCTAAATCAGATTAAGACGCACACACATCGTACGTTTTAAGCATATGTAACTTTGCTTGCACAGGAGATTGATTCAGATTTTCCGGGTCACAAACGTCTGGCAGGTATGTCCGGCAGATTAAACTCTACAGGGACAACTACATGTTACCTCACATAAAGCTAGTTTATTCTGAGTAAGCAGTGTTTATTATCGATCGTGGGAGTTTGGTTTGCACTGACACGCTGTGTGCCCAGTTGCTCAGAATCGCCAAAGAAAGGCCGAATCGCTTTAAGATGCGGTCGCCACCTTCACACGTGCTTTGTGTGACCAACCGCAATGTTATAGTGAAACGAGGGTGAGTATTTGACAGGTTTATGTAACCAGTAATAGTTTTCTTGTTAATTGTGTGTGAGAGTGTACAGTCTTTTTTTTATCCTTTTCATACTCAACTATTCAAAGGTTTGGAATGTTGTTTTTTTTTTTAAATGTTTTTGATTCTTATGCTCATCAAGGCTCCATTTATTTGATCAAAAATACAGTAAAAACTGAAATATTTTTACAATTTTAAATAACTGTTTTCTATGTGAATATATTGTAAAATGTAATTTATTCCTGTGATGCGCAACTGTATTTTCAGCATCATTACTCCAGTCTTCAGTGTCACATGATTCTTCAGAAATCATTCTAATATGCTGATTTGCTGCTCAAGAAACATTTCAGATTAGTATCAATGTTGAAAACAGTTTAATATTTTGGTAGAAACTGTGATCTTTTTTTTTTTCATGATTCTTTGATTAAAAAATTCTGACCCTAAACCTTTGAATGATAGTGCACTTAATGCAATAAATGTACTTTAAAAGCGTGGTTTGTGATGTTTTTCATCATTAATGGTGAGTTTTCATGTGACCTGTTCATGATCACTATCCTACTTTGAGTCTGTTCGTCTTCATGAGCACTTCTGAAAACACTGGCATTGGGCTGGTTTTGTGTGGATTCTTTAGGGTTTGTGCTGTTCTTTGTATAATCTATCCGGTATTCTTCAGCCGTTTTTAGGGCTGCTGAGAGATTAAAGTGAATTATCAGATTATCATCCTAAAGACAAACTAAATATGTATTATATATGTTTACATTTTAAAGTTTTATGATTTTTCCTTAAGACTTTACTTAAGACTGTTTATGTAAAACTTGTGCTAAATTATATGCGAATTAAGGGTAAATTAGACATAAATTAAGCTTCTAGTGATGAAATATACAGTATAGTACCATTCAACTTTTTTTTTTTTGAGCAAGTAATTTAGCAAGGGTGCATTAAATTAATACATTAAAACGTGACCGTAAATACATTTATAATGTCATTACTGTTTTCTATGTGAATATATTGTAAAATGTAATTTATTCCTGTGATGCGCAACTGTATTTTCAGCATCATTACTCCAGTCTTCAGTGTCACATGATTCTTCAGAAATCATTCTAATATGCTGATTTGCTGCTCAAGAAACATTTCAGATTAGTATCAATGTTGAAAACAGTTTAATATTTTGGTAGAAACTGTGATCTTTTTTTTTTTCATGATTCTTTGATTAAAAAATTCTGACCCTAAACCTTTGAATGATAGTGCACTTAATGCAATAAATGTACTTTAAAAGCGTGGTTTGTGATGTTTTTCATCATTAATGGTGAGTTTTCATGTGACCTGTTCATGATCACTATCCTACTTTGAGTCTGTTCGTCTTCATGAGCACTTCTGAAAACACTGGCATTGGGCTGGTTTTGTGTGGATTCTTTAGGGTTTGTGCTGTTCTTTGTATAATCTATCCGGTATTCTTCAGCCGTTTTTAGGGCTGCTGAGAGATTAAAGTGAATTATCAGATTATCATCCTAAAGACAAACTAAATATGTATTATATATGTTTACATTTTAAAGTTTTATGATTTTTCCTTAAGACTTTACTTAAGACTGTTTATGTAAAACTTGTGCTAAATTATATGCGAATTAAGGGTAAATTAGACATAAATTAAGCTTCTAGTGATGAAATATACAGTATAGTACCATTCAACTTTTTTTTTTTTGAGCAAGTAATTTAGCAAGGGTGCATTAAATTAATACATTAAAACGTGACCGTAAATACATTTATAATGTCATTAAAATATTTCTTTTTCAAATAAATGCTGTTCTTTTGAACTTTCTATTCATCAAAGAATCCGGGAAAAAATGCATCACAGTTTCCACAAAAAAGATTAAACTGTTTTCAACATGGATAATAATCAGACATGCTTCTTGAGCAGCAGATCAGTATATTAGAATGATTTCTGAAGATCATGTGACTCTGAAGACTGGAGTAATGATGCTGAAAATTCAGCTTTACATCACAGGAATAAATTGCATTTTAAAAAGTAATAATATTCTACAATATTGCTGTCTTTAAATTCAGCTTCGGTGAGCATGAGATACATCTTTTAAAATCATTAAAAAATTTTTTTTTTAAATCTTACCAACCCCAAACATTTGAGATTCATTTTTTAGATTTATGGCCACAAAACTAAAAAAATTATTTTAATTTATTAATTTGCTACAAGCTTTTACCATTGTTTGAAATATAGAAACAATGGTGAAAAGAAAATGTTTATATTTGCTTGGTATTTTTAACAGCCTTTAATGAAATATGTGCAGATGACACATTATATTCCATGTGTTTCTGTGACAGGTTCACTTTGGGCTCTGATTTGAATGGCCACACCCTCGTGGCGGTGATTGGAGGAGAGGAGGAGCACTTTGAGGATTTCGGTGAGAGCAACAACACTTCAGACCTGCTGCTGGCCAATCAGGAGGATAGAGGGGCGGGGCCAGATGGGGAGGGAAATACAGAGCCACTCCCACACCCAGACAGCCCACTGCCCCGCCCACTGATGCTGCTGTCGCCTAGGTAACATACAACCAACTCACAAGCTTATCCTACAAATAGCAGATTATTTAAAGCATAAAAACATTCTCATACTGCTTAAGTATTGTATAGCTTACATACTCCATACATACATGGAAGACAGTTTGTCATTATTCTTTATCCCGAGCTAAACTTGGAAAGTATAATTAGGCACTACTGTAAATGTTTATCTGGGCTGTACTGAATGAGCAGCTTGACACAAATAGAAATACACTATTTCTAGTTTCCACACAGTGAGAGAGAGAAAGTGAGTCAGCACAGCAAAGAAGATCATGTGCATAATGAGACCTTGTAGAGCGACGTCCTGACCACAGACAACTCTCTCATTTACAAACAGTGTGTGTGTGTGTGTTTGTAAGACAGATTGAGATGTTATGATCCCTCTGAGCAGTGTGTATGCGGTTAAAGGTAAACCACCATGATGTCCTGCTGACTGCACTATTATTTCTCTAGTGAGGTGTTATGATCCGCGGGTAAAGGTCGAGTTGTTGTGGCTATTGTTTTACTGCAGTGCTGGTGTTGTCAGGCGTATGCGATCCAGCACACACCTAGACACTTGAGAAGAGAACATGGAAACACAACACACTCTCAGACCTGTTCAAATAAACACACACACTGCTCCTGCTGTGTTACTCCTGCACTGTACTGCTCACCTCTGTGTAGATCCTCCTCCGTCCTTCACTCAACTGAATGTTCCCCGTTCTCTCCCTCCCTCTGCTCATCCTCTTATTGAACACTCACACACTCTCTCCTCTCCTCATTTCTTCTGTCATATCTTCTTCTGTACCCTTATTTCTCCTCTACTCTACTTATTTCTCCTTTTCTCTCCTCATTTCTCATCTCCTAATTTCTCCTGTCGTATGTTATTCTATCTCCTTATTTCTCCTTTCCTTGCTCATTTTTCTTTCTTTCTCCTCTGTTCTACTTATTTCTCTTCTCCTCTGCTCATTTCTCCTTTCCTCATTTCTTGTCTCCTCATTTCTCCTCTCATATCTTCTCCTCTCTCCTTATTTCTCCTCTCCTTTGGTCTCCTCAGCCCCAGCTCTTTCCCTGCTAGTTTCCAGAGTTTCCTTCAGTCGGAGGCGCTGGAGTTTTTCTGCACTCACTGTCATAAGCAGATCATTCGTCTGGAGGATCTGTCCACGCGACTGCAGTTACTAGAGATGAATAGGTAACGCACCCGCAGTATGTGCACGCCTCCCCTGCGTGTGTGTTGAGTTTGGCCACTGTACACACACACTCACTGTGTCTGCATGTGTGTGCTTCAAGAACTTGCAGACATCTATACAGTGTCGCATGACTCGTGTTGGTTTTGATGTGAAGGTTCAGTGTTTGTACATTCTGTAGATGAAGTTTGCTGTGAACATTAATGCTCTGCTGTTGATGCTGTGGTGTGTGTTGTGTGTGTATTTGATGCATGCACGATAGTCTTGAAGTGCTTTTTAGGTAAATATTTTCAAAATAATATAGGCTACATAATACAAATATAACTAGGCAGTGTTGATAGCTTAAAACACATAGGTAAGCACATTTCTTAAAGAGACGGAAGCTTAAAAATTACAATCCTTTCATCATTTACTCACCGTCATGTAGTTCTAAACCTATATGACTGTATTTATTTATTTTATAACACCATTGTATAGACAAGAAAAGCTCAAAAATCTAATTTTTTATTTTATTAATTCAAAAGGTTTTGGAATGACGCGAGTTTTCATTATTGGGTGTACTGTATCTTTAAGAACTGTATAACATTTTGTTACTATTCTACCTGGGTATGCATTAAATAGTCAATTTTTCAGTTTTTCCAAAACGGAGTAAGAAAATGAGCCTAGGAAACATAATTTATCCAACTTTAATTTAACATATTAATATATGGTATTTTGTTTAAAAGATCATGGAAAGCCTGGCTTGTCCTAAGCGGCAGAAGGGAACAGTGATGAGGGTGTTTTTTTTGACTATGAAGAGAATAGACAAAGCTGTTTCTCCTGGTTCAGACTTGCGCAACAGGAACAGAATCTCCTTTCACGCATCCATGTTACACCTCCATAAATACAGTGCTTATTTCCGTGTGCCGTGAGGTCATTACCATTGAAAGAAGAGCATTGATTCAGCATTCAACCTGCAGAAAGAGCTGACGGCCCCAAACTTCAGCGCTTCGCTGGGTGTTTTTTGACCTGCGGTTCACAGGTCACGGATGGAAAGAGAGTTTTTCCTCTTTGCCGTTCTTTCTTCCTGACCCTTTTCCTGTTTGTGCTCTCTCTTATAGTTCGAGCAAGAGGCTATCCAGTAAGAAAGCAGCAAGGTGAGATCCTCCCTCTCAATGCACCAAACATCAGTTTTAAGGACAAAACGACAATGGGAAACTTTTGTGATGTGTTGCATGTCATTTTGGATGTTTTTTTTTCTTGTTTTCAGCAAAAACTCACTTAGGTTTTGATAAAAAAAAATTTAGAAAACAAGACCTATATCAAGTAATTTTGCTTGCAAAATTAGCAAGACTTTATATCTTGCAAATTTTTCAAGTAAATGTATTTTCAATTAAGAATGTTTAGAAAACTAGACAAAAATAAAGAGGAGGAACATCATTTTTTGCAGTGTTCTTAGTCGACTATGTCTAAGTTTGCTGCTCCAGCAGCAAGAAAAAAAACAGTCTGGACCAGCATGGAAATTCATGCTGGTTTCCAGTTCAGCAGGGAACATGTTGAAATGTTTGCGTGTGTTTTTCAGACACTTGCAGCAGTCTGGCACTCTGGATGTCATGGGAGATCTGACTCGAGACATTTTGGACCTTCCGGATCGTGACATCACAGACAAGGTTCGGAAACTAATATAGAAATTGTGCATCAAACTGGTTCAAATCGTGCATTTGATGTGAATTAGGTTGTTAGTTTTGTCATCAAAGGGCAAAAATTTAACTAAAAAGTTCATATTACCATGATACAATATATTTCTACCTTGATTTATATAACTCTTTATACAATACAGATTATTTCAAATCAGCCTCACAGTTATAAACAGGAAAATAACACAATCAGTGATGCAAACCTTTTCAAATATAAGACAAATTCTAATTCTGCTGTCATCATTCAGCTTAAGTCAGTTCAATGTTGATTCAATTCAGTTCAATAACTGTGTAAAGTTAAATGATTATGAAACGAGCTCAATTCAGCTATAAGTTTCTCTACAGAAGGCAATAGTGTATATGTTGAGTCAATTCAGTTAAATAATAGTGCTTATGTTGCAAAAGTAATCACTTAAATTTTTATCTGCTATATTTGCAGTTTCTGTGTCTCAGAAATTATACCTTTAAATTATTTTAGCAACATGTTTATTAAATTAAAACAAGGTTTTTAATACACGGTAACAGCTGGATATTATGTCAGTTTAAATTCACAAAGACGCTTTTGTTGGAATATGATTTCATTCAAAGCAAAACGTTACTGGTGGATTAGTAAATTATGATCGATTTCAACAGATGATTGCAAGATTATCTTTCTATTTTGACAAACCTTCATTCATGTTTCCAGCTGGATAGTGTTACCTTTGTGGCATTTAAATTAGCTCAGTTTGCAACAACAATATTCAATTTAAAACAAATAAAAAAAAACATTAAGCATTTCACTCATAAAGCAGTTCTGAAGAAGACAATTGTGTCATTATTCATCTAAGTTCAGTTCAAGTTGTGTTTTCATCTGATAGTGACAGTGCAGTCAAAAATGCACACATGACATGGACGGAATAGAAAAACGGATAGTTTTGTGAAAGCATGAGGAACGAAGGCTGTGTCTGTCCTGCAGGTGTTGCTGTTGGAGAAGCGTGTGTGCGAGCTGGAGAAGGACTCGTTGGAGAGTGAGGAGCAGCATGCGCGCCTGCGGCAGGAGAACCTAACTCTCGTCCACCGCGCAAACGCTCTGGAGGAACAGCTGAAGGAGCAGGAGCTGCACTCGGAGGAGAACTTACTCACGCACACCCGTAAACACAGAGATGCTCTGAACAAACTCCAGCGAGAGAGAGACCTGGAGATCGAGAACCTCCAGGCCAGGTGAGGGCGGACAGAATATATCTTTAATGATTAATGTAGAATGGCATTTGGAGAAATTTCGCTGTGGGTGACCAACAACATGTTTACGCAGTTGAAGTCACGTCTAGTTTGGACACAATTGCTTTTATTGCAACGGGCTTGTCAGGGTTAAACAACAAGATTTTTTTTTTTTTTCTGCTTTGCACTTTCCCCGACACAAAAATTATACATTTCAATTATTTTGAACATGGATTTATATATATATACCAGAAAAATATTTGTTAAATTATGTTTTTTAGGTTTTTAATATGCAATAACAGATTATATTATGACTGTTTAAATTCACAAAAACACTTTAGCTGGAATATGATTCTGGTGGGTTAGTAATTTTTGACCCATTTTAACAGATGATTCCAAGCTTATAATTTTTTTTTAATTTTGACAAATCTTCATTTATATTATCCAGTTATATAATGTTACTTTTTAAACAATTTGGAACAACGATATTCAATAAAAAAAAACTATGTTTAAATCAAGTGAATGCAGAGACTTGCTTGCTTGTGGGCTGTGTATGTCATGAGTCTTGCATCATATACTGTTAAGCACATTTGGAGAGCACATTAATTTTATTAACAGTCCTCTTGAGAAGGTCGTTAGATCAGGTAACTTATCTTCAGTGTCTTATAATAATCGAGAAATATGAAGACATGCATCATATGCAGCAAATACTATTTCTCACTGTTCATATATTCCAGGATGATTATAGTGTTGTTATTGTTAACTAAAACTATTAAAAATGTTTGTGTTTATTGAAATAAAGCCTTGGAAACTAACTGAAATAAAAGTTCTAAAATTACTGAAACTAAAATTGAAATAAATAAATAAATAATTTAATTAATTAAAGCTACATTGAAATATTTATTTAAAAACATAAAATTACAAAAACTTAAAAATTAAGTCCAATTAAAAATTGTAATGCAATAATATATAAATAATACTTAAAATAACACTACAGTTAAGAGCTTTAATCTGTTATTTTGAGCTTTTTCTGTGTGGATAAGATGTGTCTGCCATCTAGTGGAGAACAGCAGAAATTAAAGGAGCTCTGAGATTACTTGGCTCAGCATTTAATACAATCCGGCTGTGTTAACATGACTCTTTTTTTTTTCTATAACCCAGTATTGTTTTTGAGTGTTTTCATTGTGCACTCTGCCCAAAAATAAAATATCATTGTGCATTTTTGTCTGTGTGTTCAGGTTGCATCAGTTGGATGAGGAGAACAGTGAGCTGAGGTCATGTGTTCCCTGTCTAAGAGCCAACATCGAGAGGCTGGAGGAGGTACCAACACACGCAGAGTCTCATACACGTCTGTAGATTACATACAGAGTCCAAAATGACCTGTTTGTCACATCTGCCAATGATGAGTGAATTAAGAATGGCTATTGACTATCAAACCTATTTTTACATTATTTTGATTCGTTATTTTAGTCACTTTTTACTTTTTTACAAGACAAAGTCCAAACGGTCTCTAAGATGGAGTCATTTTTGCAGGAAAAGAGGAAACTTCAGGATGAGGTGGACGACATCACAGATCGATTGAACGAAGAAATCGAATCTCGCAGGAAAATGGCAGACAAACTGAGTCATGAACGTCATACGAACCAGAAAGAGAAGGAGTGCACTCAGGGGGTGAGAGGTCTTCTGTTTGGCTTTATAGCTGGGGTCACATGGTTGTTCATCTCTGTTAATGGCTTCTCTGTGTGTAGTTGATAGAGGACTTGAGAAAGCAGCTGGAACACCTGCAGCTGTTTAAGTTGGAGACTGAAGTGAGAAGAGGCAGATCGGCTAGCTCCGGCCTGCAGGAATACAACACTCACATGAGAGAGAACGAACTGGAGCAGGAGATACGCAGACTCAAACAGGTACAAACACACTCAAACTGGTAAGAACTGACTTAAACTGGTCAACACAGACTCAAACACAGACAAGACATGGGGCAAGAACAGACTCAAAACGGTAAAGACTGAGTCTTGAAACAACAAACCCTAAAGGCTCAAACAGGTAAAGAGACTCAAATTAGTCAACACAGACTGAAAAAAACAGATAACTACACACCTAGTACTCAAAGTGGTAAACTCAGACTGGTTAACACAGACCCAAAAGACTCAGATAGGAAACTCAAATTATTCAACACAGACTGAATAAAACCGATAACGACAGACCCAAGACTCAAACAGGTCAAATATCTCTGCTGAGGTTCTGTCTCTGTGTACAGGATAACCGCAGTCTGAAAGAGCAGAACGACGAGCTGAATGGGCAGATCATTAATCTGAGCATCCAGGGAGCAAAGAGCCTGTTTACTGAGTCTCTGTCCGAGTCGCTCGCCGCCGAGATCAACAATGTGTCTCGCACTGAGGTCAGTATCACACTATTGTGCTTATTTATGCTTTTAATATGAACACTTTGTGATATTTAATGTGTGTGTGAGCAGCTGATGGAGGCCGTCCACAAACAGGAGGAGATCAACTTCCGTCTGCAGGACTACATCGACCGCATCATCGTCGCCATCATGGAGTGCAACCCCTCCATCCTGGAGGTCAAATAATCACCATGGCGATGACCCTACCTGATCTAAGAACTGAAACAGGAGGCGAGAGGCGTAAAGAGCAGATCTGGAGATGATGGGAAGAATCCAATCATTATGTTGATCAAATAATTTAATCATTCAGAGCACTGTTTGTTGCATGTATGTATGTATGTATGTATGTATGTATGTATGTATGTATGTATGCATGTATGTATGTATGTATGTATGTATGTATGTATGTGTGTGTGTGCGTGTGCGTGTGCGTGTGTGTGTGTGTGTGTGTGTGTGAATGGCCCCGTCCTTCGGTTCCTGTGACTTCCCTGTGTTTTGGGATTGAGGTGCCCATTCCCTCTGTATATCTGTGTTCACAATTCATGGATTGAATTTCAGTATAAGAAACTTTAACGTTTTAAGTTACCAGTGTAAGTCTGGTTTAACCGTCACACCGTTAGCCCATGTGAGGGACATTTGCTGGCCTGAGGGTTGAGCGTGTGCGTACGATTTTGCTCGTAAACGAGTTTTTGCTGAATGTTACTGCTGTTTTCACTTGCGTTTTTTCTTTAAATTCTTATTTATTACGATGATGCGGAACGCAAAGGATCAGGGGAGACTGACACCCACCAAGGGAGTTTGCAGTGTTGCATTGTGGGTAAGGTCATCGGTCCTGTGCGAGTTCTTGCTGAGAATATTCGCCTGCCGCCTCCTGTCAGACTTTGATTTTCTGTACAGAAGACTCACTGGAAATGTTCATTGCACTTCAAGTAATTTTATTTTGAGTAATTTCTGTTTGCTATTTAAATAGTTTGATAGATAAATAAGGTGAAGCTGTTTTATCAACGTTGGCGGGAAAAAGAAGCCGACACTGAAGCACTGAAGGGAATTCGAACCGTCAACAGAACACGCGGGAAAAGGGACTTTTGCTTCTGCGTTTCAGAACTCTTTATGTCGCTCTCTGATGGATTTGGGTGTAAATATTGATCTAGAACGTTTGGTTCTTGGAAACGTATTTTTATGGACAAAAGGAAATAAGATTAAGTTTCATTTTGTCTTCCACTTGACTGATCTCTTTTCGTCTGATCCAGCGCGCCATTATGGATATACATCCCTCTCATCCGGGACAAGCATGTTTGAGTTTCACTTTCAACTTTTTTTGGCCGGGAACATCCAGTGGAAAATCTAAAATGAGTTTAAATGAAAGATTAGACCTATTCCTTCTTCTTCCCTTTGTTTTTGTTTTTTGGGATTGTGGAAAACCAGGCTGCAGTCCACATTTTTCTTTCCCCTCTCCTCTGACGTGCGTATTTCGTTAAGACCCATCCGACCAGTTCTTCTTATAGGACGATGCTGGATAACATTTGAGGACGATTCGGCTGCTGTCACGTCTGTATGGCTGTTTTAAAGCTACTGTAATGATACTGATGGACCTTAAAGCGCGGGAACTTTGCTTCTGTAAACTTTTGAATACCGACTCTCCTTCCTTAATTTCCTTCCGGAGACAATAAGGGAAGATCTGAATCTACTGCTCTTGATCTGTCTGATGTTAAACAGCTGTTGAATATGATTTAAGATATATCAACAAGCATCTCCAGTGTCCAAAGACAACATTTCGCCGCTTAGGAGGAGTTCTGCTTGCCACTTAGACTTTAAAAGACTAATAATAGTTATAAATACATGTTAATAAAAGAAAAAGGACTCCTCATAATGAAGGATACAATTGTAAAAAAAAAAAATGTTTACTCTAATTGTTAAGGTTGCTGTATAAATGAAAGATATCAGTATTGTCTTCTGTTGAATGTTTTGCTTTCTTTTGAAAATGCCCCCCTAAGATGTATCTTTTACTGTTTGGGGGTCTTATAGATTTTCAAATAATTGTATGAAGGTTAAAAGAAAAATGAAAATAAAATTAGTCACCAATAAATGAAGTGCAAATAAGTTCTTTGTGGATGTTTCTTATTTTTTAATGCGTCCTGAACATAAACACCAGACGAGCAGAATAGAATTGATCAGTGCGAATGCAAGTCCTCACGGTATGGATAAACATAATCAGAGAATCAAGCCTACTTTTGGGCCTGTTCTACAAGTTTTTGTACTTTTTGAGATTGAACAGCAAATAAATGAATAAAAATTAAATGCAAAGGCATTTGAAAAACCTGATGCAATCATTGAAATCCAGCCCTGTTAACCTACTGTATGTTTTTTATCCACCTTATTTAGCAAAATAAAGTGCCATTTACCAGTGTTCATGATTATGATTATAAATTAAAACAATATGACAACAAATATAATTTTGTAATATCAAGTAGCATAACGGGCTGTTTTCTTACAGGTAAAATAAGGAAGCGAATGGCACCAGAAGTTATTACCTTAAAATGGCACACAACCGAGAGGCCACACAGCATTTGAGGCCTGGATTTACAAAAACCATTCCAGTTTGTTTCTCAACGTTTCAACATCGCATCAACTACTGATGAACACATGCATTTTTATTTGAATTATCTTCATTTAAATTAAATGATCTTTTTACTAAGTGTGTTATTTTGATTGTTGTTATTTTAAAATGATTTCTTTTCATTTTAAATTTTTATGATTTATTTATCAGCTTTCCATTAAACAAACAAGCCCCAGTTTGGGAAACCTTGATGTAAAATAATGTTTAGTGCACTTCATTATATTAATAACAAGAAATGTAATATATTTTCTTTGCATTTTTATATCAATCTGGTACAATATTATCCTATTTAAATCAATATGATAAACGAGTTAGGCCAAAAGTTATTATATATATTACCTAAAATGTGAAATGTAATGGATTACGATACTAACTACATTTTTTGTCATGTAATTTGAAATCAGTTGCGGATTGCAATTTTCAAGTAATCTACCCAGCTCTGCTGATATAGGTGATAATATTAAAATGTTGATATTGATATAACCAGTGTTTGTTCACACGTAGAAATGAAAAGGGAATTATTTTAAACAGTTGTTGCACAAATGCTTTTATAATGATTAACTAACTTATTCTTGATGGGCCTAGTAAATGAATTAATAAGGAAGTGATTAACAAAGAATAAGCCTAAGAAGGTTGGCGTGTTCTGTAGTGAACTCTTATGGAATGGTTCCGATAGGAACCTTTGTTCAGACGGTCTGCTTCTACACGGACAGGTATTAGAGCGCAATCACATGGAGTTATGTCAACACGACTGATGCGGCCAGTTATTTCATGTTTTATCATCACGGAATGACTTTAAAACTATAACCAAGTTAAGTACGTTTACTATATAATCTCTTAACGTTACATACATTAACGTTATGGTATTCATATAGTATATATATGGTTATCCAATGAGGTTTGTAGTTATGCAGCTCTGATACGATACTGTAAATCAATAATTGCATCTCTGTGGGACACCTACGTTTATTTCACTATATTACAATTAAATCCTAATCTAATCATGACAAATTTATATCGTTGGAAAGGTCTGAGACTCCCAAATAAATATTTTACCACAGTTTTTTGTTAGAAAAATTATGTTGGAAAAGTAATTTATGACAAGAGTGCACCTCAAAAATCTACATCATAACAGGAGTTCTGACCTTTGTAGCAAAAAAAGTCTTCTTTGTTGCCTTTTTCTCAAGCACACTTTAGAAATCATCAGAAATCATATATCAACTGAAAACTTTAAATCTCAAAATTCATCCTTTGAAAGCCATTTTAAAATCAGACATTGCATTACCATGAAAATGGGGCATCAAAATCATGTTACAAAATGTTTTATTCATGAATTATTAAAATTAAAGTTTGGAATAGTGCACTTTCACGTCTATGTTCAAAAATGTGAGTTGACAGTTAAGGGGTTCATTTAAATGATTATATGTTGTATATGACCTGCATATGACAAGCCTCGTCCAACTGCCCAATGTATTCAGTGATATTTTAATATTATGTTGCAGAAGTGATGCTGCATTAAACTGGATCTTCAGCCAAGCATCGGTTTCCGTGACGTCATGGGGTCCGAGGCGCTGGTGCGGCTGCAGGTAGACTCGTGCTTGAGGACTCTCTCCGCCTCACGAGACCCCGGGGAGATCGTGCACGTGCTACGCACACTCATGCGCAACCTGGAGGACGGCGAGTTCACGCGCCTTCACTACACACACACAATTCAGGTGCTGGTGAGCGCGCACTGCTTCGGCGGGTTGTGTGATGATGAGGAGATCAAGAAGCTCTGGTGTGAGATGTTCCTCAGGGGGCCACCGGACCAAACACTGCTGCTTTTGCTGGACACCATCAGCTCCACAGGGTATGACATCAATATCTATCTATCTATCTGTTATGTTATGTCAGTGCTGTACTAATGATGTGTTGTGTCTCTTGCACACACAGCGAGAGTGCGGCTCTGGAGCGATGCATGTCTGTACTGGAGAAGTTCCTCTCTGCAGGTCGTCTCCAGGTGTTATTGTGGTCCAGATGTGAGGTGGGCGGAGCCTGTTCAGACTCTCCCCAGCTAAGAGAGACCATCATTGGCCACCTTGCAGCTTTACCCTCCATCACCTGCAACCATCTGCACACAGACACACCTGACGCCTTCTTACCACAGCAGTACTACCCACTGCTGGCCGCCAGCATGCTGGACTCCCTGGAGAAGACGTGCTGTGCTCTCAGAGGTACACACAACACATGCTTAAAACATCATTGCAACCACTACATATTTGAATGCATAATTGCAACCACCACATATGTAAAGCATCATGCAACCACTGCATATTTTAAAGCATGATTGCAAAGACTGCATATTTTAATGCATTGCTACAACCACTGCATATTTGTATCATCATAATCACTGCATATTTTAATGCATCATTGCAACCACTATGTATTTTAATGCATTGATGCATCCACTGCATATTTTAATGCATTGATGCATTCACTGTATATTTTAATGCATCGATGCATTCACTGCATATTTTAATGCATCATTGCAACCACTGTATATTTTACTGCATTACAGCTACTTCATATATGAATGCATCATTGCAACCACAGAATGTTTTATGCATTGTTGCAACCACATAATATTTTAATGTATAATTACAACCACTACATTCTTTAATGCATCATAACCGCCACTTTATATTTGCATGCATCATTGCAGCCACTGCATATTTTAATACATGATTGCAAAGACTACA